TCAATCCAGTACTATTTTTAATTTTGCTATGTTTTAGTTTCTGGTAGTTTTATTTTGTCTTTTTGCTCATAAGAGCTACAAGGGACAGGAAATTGTGGAGAGCCATGATTGCCAACATGCTGAAGAAACATGGCACATAGAAGATGCAGCTATATATTTCTGTCATGTTGTCAGTTAATACACTACCCAAGTCGTTAAATTTCTGCACTTGATTTTGAAACCTTCAATACATAACTCACACTCTGAGTAAACATCTGCGAAAGCAAAGTTGGTTAATTTAAGCATAAATTCTTAGATAGCTTCCTGATGTTTCTATTATGACAGCAAGTTTGGGATCCACCCAAGAAAAAGGAAAAAAAAAAAAAAAAACTGATCTTGTATCTCTAGATTTGACAATCCTGAAAACATTTCCATTTTTGTTTTAAAGTTATTATTTCTTTATATTTATATACATTTTATCTTTTTATTTTTTTATTTTTTTATTTTTTTTTTTTTTCAAAAGCTGTAGACGTTAAGATTGTTGTTAAACTGGCTTTGCGTAAAATTCCTTACCTGATGACTGCAGAATTGCAAATGAATCATTGTAACATTTTAAATAAGTTTCCTTTCTTGTCCTTTGCATTCATTTGCTTTTTACTAGTCATGATCAGGGCTGGATGCAGTCCTTAAGAGCCCCCCCCACTTCCTGGGCTAATAGAATTTGTGGGTTCTTATATTATGAATGTTCACCCCCCCCCCACCTATGTCTGTATAAAATGGAAAATAATTTAAATGGTTTTTTTTTTTTTTTTTTTTTTTTTTTTTTTTGTGTGTGTGATGTGTATAATAAACACAATACTAAAACTAAAATTAATAATAAATATGTATGAGATGCCTTCAAATCTAAATGAGACACCTTTAAATTTGCCTCCATCAAATTTAAAAGAACCACTTCAACTAGAGGTACCCAAATAATCTAAATTGTTCAAAGGAGCCCCCATTAAATCTGAAAATAAGCAAATCTCACTCGGATCCCAGATAGACTCGTATGTAAATCTGTCACTGGTCACGATGTTAATCACTGTACAATGACTATAAAGAGATAATTATCTATGTGTCATGTCCTGTCAAGACTGGGGGAAATCCTAGTGCTCCACAACTTCCTATTTTTGGTAAAGTTTATCTTTTCCTTATCTATTCCAATCCCTGTTCTGTCCTCATTTACACAAGCTTGTTAGGTTAGGTTACTCGCTACTTCCTTCTGTCTTGCTTGCTTTCAGTGTCCTGTGAGTGTCAGATTCTCCAAACCCACTTCCTTCATTATGAGTCCTAGAAATTTCAACTCTTTCTGAATCTAACAAGAAATATTTTTTTTTTTTTTTTTTTTTTCTCCTTAAAACATCTTTGTTCCTTAAATGTTGATTCTTATAATCTTTCTGTAAGAAAACCTTTTTTGTTGCCTAAAGTCTCTTCAGTGACGAGATTTTTCAGCATGCACTGCAAGAGAAGACTAATTTTAGCAGTTTAATATTTTGCTTTACTTTTGGGAGGCTCTCTCTCTCCCCCCCGTCCCCCTCTCTCCCCCGTCCCTCTCTCTCCCCCCGTCCCTCTCTCTCTCCCCCTGTCCCTCTCTCTCCCCCCCCTCTCTCTCTCCCCGTCCCTCTCTCTCTCCCCCTGTCCCCCTCCCCCTCTCTCCCCCGTCCCTCTCTCCCCCCCCCCCTCTCCCCCCCCGTCCCCTCTCTCTCTCCCCCTGTCCCTCTCTCTCCCCCCGTCCCTCTCTCTCCCCCCCGTCCCTCTCTCTCCCCCCCCCCTCTCTCTCTCCCCCGTCCCTCTCTCTCCCCCCCGTCCCTCTCTCTCCGTCTCTCTCTCTCTCCGTCCTGCATGTGAAGAGAGTGAATTCTCTTGTCTTGCCCTCTTCCATTCTCGCTGCAACAGTGTCTTCGTACTTTGATCACATTCCACCTTTGAATTTCAAACACACTTGAAACATAACAAAATATGCCCATCAAATAGACAATGTCTAGAATGTCCATTAAACATTTTACTATAACAATAATATTTAAAATTGTTTGAAATCAGAAAATTAACTATCTTTATTGCTTTAATTTAAAACCAGGATACAATTGGATCAGCTCGTTCACTTCAAAGTTGCATAACCTAAGAAAAATGACTTGTTAACATCAAATTTAAATGCCACTTGATTTGTCTATATTCCTGAGATGAGGTATTATGTACATTATTTACACTAATGTCCTCATCTTTGTCGCCATATTTATCACAATGTTTTGGCCATTGTACAAAGAAGGCCGAAGTGTACAATGGCCGAAACGTTGTGATAAATATGGCGACAAAGATGAGGACATTAGTCCGAATAATGTAAATAATGCCACTTGATCTATTGAATGAAAGTTTTCAAAGGTTTAATCTTTTTGATTTTTAACAATGTGCTTTTTGTTGTGCAAATCTGTTTCAAGTTTGGATTAACTTTATTTTTTTTTTTTTTCTCTGCGTTTTACTTTGTCTTGGCCAAATTAGTTGGTTTTGCCCCCCCCCTTTTTTTTAATCGATCAGTTGAATACAAATAATAATTTAATAGATCAGTTGAATACAAATTTGACATTGGCAGTCGGTTGATTGTTTCTTTCCTTTTTAATTCCAGGAACTTGAGCCATGATTCTGAATGTAAAGCTTATCTTCCCTTGGATGCTGAGAGCAATGACCTTTACAACAAAATGGCAGATGGAATTTTACTTTGGTAAGTCTTTTCCTTTCATCAAATTCTGTGCTGCTTTTCCCCCTCCCTTCTTTGTTTCTCTCCCTTTTTACAAAGTTTTGCTCTTCCTGGGGGTGGGTCTCTCAATTCTGCTTTTTTTTTTTTTTTTTCTCCTGTGAAGAACCAAAAACCCATGTTCTTCTTGCCCCCCACTTACTTCTTAAATCTAATTGAGTCTGTGTATAAATTTAAATTGAAGTGCTAATTAGACGTGGAGGAGAGAAAATCTTAAATATCAGGATATTGCACATTATGAATTACCATATTAATATTCGGACAACTGTTCAAATATAGTGTAAATAGTAACGCCTTATCCCGGAAATTCAGAGTGAAATGAATTACTTTCTCTTGCACAGAGTACTCCCCCCCCCACCTTGACAGAAAATAGTCATTAGTTTTTGGTCCTTCAGCACTAGACCCACAAGAACTTGACTGACAGAATAAATAACATTGAAGTCATGTTTTAGTTTGGCCTCTACCTTGATATAAATCTCTCGACCCTACCAATGCCTTCAGTGCCATTTCAGGATTTTTAGGCGATGGACGTTCTCCAGATTCTTTGTTGCTCTATCCTTAAATTGCCTGTATTCATGAATGGTTTCTCTATTGCTTCCTTTACAGTTTGGAATACCATTTTCCTTCTCTTAGACTGGTTACCACCCAAGGCTAGAAAGCGGTCTACCCTGCTATTTAACCCATAGCTGGGGAGAGGGTGGATTTGTCTTTCCCAAGGGTGTTTGTGAAAAAGTAAGCTTATCAAAGTAGGTTGGAATTTGAAATTATTAATTCTGCTGTCTATGACCATAGCTGTTGTTACCCACACTTCTAGGGAACATTAGGATTTTTATATTAATTTTCTAACAAAGATATTTGAAATACCAGCCAAGAACTGATTTTTCAAGCTTCCTACTTAGATGACACCTCGGTTACTCTACTCTCTAAGATTGCCATCTTCTGTTTTCCTGAATCCTGTCCTTTTATTGTCCTTTTTCTAGAATAAAGTCTTCTCTTTAACTCCCAGTATCACCTTGTTTGGGGGTTAAATGACTTAAAAATAAAAAAAAAAAAATGGGAATCATAATTCAGAGATGCACTTTTTTCTTTGTGTGTGAGATATATATATGTCATCCACAGACAGTTTCAATGTTTCACAGCTCATCAGTGTGGCTAGACATCCGGTTGCCTCTAGCTAGGATCAAAACCCGACTGAATTGGTGTCAGTCGGAGATTCTAACCATTAAGCTATCGGCGCACGGTAGGGATGAAAGTGGATTTTTAGCGTATTTATTTTAGAAACACGCCCAGTGACCAACAGTGACTCAATATATATAAAAATTCTGCCTTTTCTGTTTGTTTAGTAAATTGATCAACATCACATGTCCAGAAACAATTGATGAGAGAGGAATCAATAAGAACCACCCAAATATTTACCGCAGACATGAAAATCTTGTGCTGGCCCTTAACTCTGCCCGTTCCATTGGTTGCAACATTGTAAACATCGGAGCAGAAGACATAAAGGAAGGAACGCCTCACTTGGTCCTTGGTTTGCTTTGGCAAGTCATTAGAGTGAGTTTTTTTTTTTTTTTTTTTTTTTTTCTCTTTCCTTGCAGGTGAAAAAGTGTCTTGCTTTTTTTTTTTTTTTTTCTTTTCTTTCTAAAAGAAATTGTGAAATCCTTTTCAAATTCTTATTTGTACTCCTGGTTGGCTTGTTCTATTGACTATAGTCCTCCTCTTTATCACGTTTCAACTGTTAATAATAAAAAAAAAAAAAAAAATTCTCAATTTAACTCATAATAAAAAGACACTCAACCCGGAAAAGATGCATGTGATGCTCCGAGTGGACATGTCGCATCTGTCCAGAAGTCGAGGCAACAGAACTCTTCCTTGGGCCAGAAACTGGTGTATATCGATCTGAGTAACCTACAGGAAATTCAAAACTGAATCCTTTATTTAATCTACAAGGGTAGCCTATACTCATTGAACTGCCCATGTTTAGAGATGTCTCTATTTCTTATTTTTAATTATTGATCACATTTTGTTTCCACTGAATCAAGGTATGCACTGCCCGTCCCAGGGATTGTGCTTGCAATTACTATGTTCAATCTCTATATGGAATCTAGAAAAGATGTGTCCCAATACCAAATTTTGCATTTTTCTCTGTACAAAACTGGACTAGAACTTGGAACACACACACATATATATATATATATATATATATATATATATATATATATATATATATAAAAACATCCAAGAATCCTCTGAAGAATGGAAATTTACCAAGAAACTTTGAAGTTGGAAAATGACAAAAAAAAAGATTTAAACGTTAAGTCATATATTAGTAGGGGAAACAAATATTCGTACACGTACAAAATTTTAATTTATTGTATTTCCAACTAATGAATAAACATACTTTTCATATAATTAAATGTACCTAAATGCATAATAACTAAATATGCATAGAAAACGGAAAAAAGATTGATTTAATATTAATAGAAATAAATCCCATTTATCCTTTTAATGGGTGAAAAAAAAAAAGTATGCATACAATGCACATTTCAGATTTTAAAACTTTTTAAATTGCTTTAATACTCTAGATTATTCAAGTGGAATATTCTAGAATGTTTCAATAATGTTATTTTTAGCCTCAAAAGTACAAACGGAACATTCTGTAATTGATATGAGTTCAAGATTATCATCATGGCAAGAAGTAAAGAATTGACAAATTCACAAAAATAACTGATAGCTCTGGAAAGAAGGTAAAAGTTACAGGAAAATCTCAGACAACCTGAATATTCCACTTACTATCGTTAGTTCATTCATTGCAAGGTATAAGTCAAAACTGTTAAAGCCAAAGAACAGGTGTTCCACGGAAGGTTTCTTCTAAATCTTTGAGGAAATTGATGTCAAATTAAACAAAATCCAATGATTACTCATCAAGAGTTACAGGATGATTTTCTTTCATTAAGAATCTATCACTAAACAGATAAGCAATGAAATTCACAGGAACAATCTAAAGTCATGCTCCCCTCGGCAAACTCCACTGCTATTGAAAAGACACAGATGCCAGGTTGAAATTTGTTTGTGAACATAAGGATAAGGAAAAATTTTATTTGGAAAGAGTATTACAGACAGACAAAACCAAAACCGAGTTGTTTGGCTGTAATTCTAGAAATCGTGTATGGAGGAATGATGGCGATGCCTTCAGACAAAAGAACATTGTTACAACAGTAAAATTTGATGGTGGCAACATCATGGTTTGGGGATGTTTTTCTGCAAAAGATTCTAGCAACATATTTGTAATAGATGGTAGAATGAATGCTGCAGCATATCAAAATATTTTGGAAGCAAATTTAATGATTTTGGTTGAAAATCTTGAACTTCCTCCTGATTGGATCTTCCAACAAGATAATGTATCTATCACACTGCAAAATCTATGAAGAAACGGCTTGCTGAAAATAATGTAAATATCCTGAAATAGACAAGTCAGTCTGCAGATTTAAACCCAATCCAGAATTTGTGGTGTTATTTGAAAGTTCAAATCCAATCATGAGCTTCAAAAAACATCCTGAATCTGAAGACCATATGCGAAGAAAAATGGAACAAAATATCAACCAAATTTTGTACATCATTATGTGAGAACTACAAGAGGTTGGTTGCTGTAGAAGTGAATAATGGCTTTTCTACAAAGTATTAAATAAAGATTATATATTCTATATTGTATTGTACAAATACTTATTACACTCATTAAAATGGATAAATGGGATTATTTATTTATTTCTATTAAATCAATTTTTTCTGTTTTCTATGCATATTTATTTATCTATTTGTGTATAGTTATTTATATAAAAAGTATGTTTATTAGTTGGAAATGCAATAAATCAAAAATTTGTATGAATATTTGTTTCCCATATATATATATATATATATATATATATATATATAAAAAAGACATTTTATGTTTAACGTTCTTTAATAAATAAATTGTCGAACTTTGTCCATTTTTTTTTATATATATATATATATATATATATATATACACACTCACTTTATGTAATTTGGATGTCTAAAACATACAGTGTGGACAGAGAAATCAACACTGCATGATGACTGTCAGTTTCACAGCTTATGGGATCCGGAAACAATGGTCTGTTGATTTCTATGTCCACACTTTTTAGAACTACAAATTCTGTCATTATATAAATATAACAAATCTTCAATAATATAGAGGAGTTTCAAATAGACAAGGTGGTTGGAATAAAAGGGGTGGCTGGAATTTCTAAAAAAAAATTTTTTTTTTTTTTTCTTAACTATTTGAAAGACTGCTGTAGAATGCTTCTGGCCTAAATCAAAGGGGTGGGAGGGAATTTCCTGAGTACTTAATGATTGGGGTGGTTGAAATAAGCATATCCCAGGGGGATAATTCCCCACCACCACTCCCGAAAAAAAATAGAATTGTCCCATCCTGTCAATGTTTCTAATTATTTTCTCTTTGCTCTTTTTCTCCTGCCCACCCCGCTACTGCTTGGTAGATTGGTTTGCTAAGTGATATCGACTTGAAGCATAACCCAGGTTTGTTGCTGCTCTTGGAGGAAGGTGAAAGTCCAGAAGATATGCAGAAACTGACTCCCGAACAAATCCTTATTCGGTGGGTCAATTACCATCTCCGTAATGCTGGGACAAGTCTACAAATAAATAATTTAACAGAAGACATTAAGGTAAGTGTCAAACAATTCAATCACGCTGGATTTCAGGTTGGGGAGGCGGGTGGGTGTGTGAAATTAACTTTACTTTAGCAAATTAATTATAGAAAAATAAGATTAAAATTTAAATTTCATGTATAGCCTTATACATCAGTGACTCTTATTTCTATCCATTTTCCCCACCCATCCATCCATTGATCCGTTTTCATCACCCACCCACCAATCCATCGATCCATTTTCAATTCCACCCACCCATCGATCCATTGATCCATTTTCAATTACATCCATCGATCCATTTTCCCCACCCATCCATCTATTTCCCCCAACATCTCATCTTATCCCATCTCATCCTATCTATTTTATTGAAGTAATGGGAAAGAACAATGAGATTTATAATTTAGAGATCTTAGCATTTACTTAAAAAAGAAAAAAAAAGTCCTTGATACAATCAGAGAGCATAATATTATAATTGTTTTTTTTTGTTAAAATGTATTATGACAACACTGAAACTAACCCATATTTCAAAAACTGAAACTTGAATTCAAATTCAATTATAAAAATTAAACTTAAAATACAAATTTCTGTTCCATTATCAAGCGATGCTAAGAATAACTTTTTAGAAATTGATTTACTTAATTTATAAGTCCAGACAAATTGGATATTTTTGAAAATAAGGAAAATTCAATCACTTTTATTTTAGGGGGTGTTAAAATTTAACTTATTTAGGAAACTTATGTGTCTAATGTATTGTAGCTGTCAAGGTGGAGGCTGAGGTTTCTGTCTTCCATCACAGTCTGGGTTTCAATAGCAATACATTTGGCATTTTTAAGTTTTTATTTAATTTTATTATTTTTATGTATATCACTTATGATTTTTTTTCAAAAGGGGCATTCAAATATTTAGTTACATTTTAATATTTATATTTTTATTTGTACCGACTTAAGATATTATATTTAATTTATTTACTAATTGAGTACGTATATAGTAATGTTAAAATTAATATATTAGTATCTAATTATGTATTCATAAACTATTTTATTTATGATCAAATATAAATGTTAGTTTCATTTTTTAAAAACTTAGCTATTACTTAAGGAAAAAACTTGGCAATGTCCTCAAAAACTTGCTATTTAATTTTTTTTTTTTTTTTTTTTTTTTTTCCAGAAACTTAATATTTAACTTTTCATGTATGCACAAAGGTCATGGGTCACTTAAAGATCTACAAGTTCTTTTTCTTTTTAAGTCCTATTTTACAGTTGGTGTTTTATTGGTTTCTTTTAAATGCCAGAGATATTTAGATAAGGATGTCTGGTTGTAGTATTTAGTATTATTGAAGGAACATTGGTGTTGATTCCATCTTGATTTAAATTCATTCTTTGTACATGTAATGATGTTAGTTCATGTATAAACTCTAACATCATTAGGATTCTCAATAGATGATATATTGCATTGATAAACTACAGATTTTATACATTTAGTATTCAGAGGACAATTTTCAGGATTTCTACAGTTACATATTCTTTATTTTTTTTGTTCCTATTTCAGGATCTATATTTCTTTGATTTTGGTATAAGTATTTATTCATGATTTTTGGCATTGTTTCTTGATAATCCTTTCTAAATTCTCAGTAACTTATTTTTAAGGTAATTTTATTAAAAATTTTGCTGAGTTTACTATTTCTAGGAAAATGTTTTTTTAATTAATGCAAGGAATTTTTGTCCTAGTTTACTTATAACCATTTCATTGAATTGGTGTATGCTAAATTTTCTATTTTTTCCTTGGTTTCTATTATTTTTTAGATAATTAATCTTTGGCCATTTATAGCCATTATCCTTTAGAGCTTTATCGTAGGAATTATGTTCATTAAATATTTTTTCAGTGCGAGACATGAAGCTATTGAGTAGAAGAGACTGTTACGACAGTGAAAGGGTCTCTCTCTCACACACACACACATATATATATATATATATATATATATATATATATATATTATATATATAGCTCTCTTTTACTCCAATAGCTTCATGTCAATCGATGTCTCCAGATGACTTGATCTATCCCCTTTCCTTCTCTTCATCCTTTCCTCTATCACTCCTATTTACTCTCACTTCAATTCTCTGTAACCCCTTGCTTGGGGTGAAACGCTTAAAAAAAAAAAAAAAAAAAAAAAAAATTGCTAAATTTAATGATTATTTTTTCGATAGATGAAGGTATATGCTTAATTATTGATGGAGGATGATTAGACTTTGGCTGTATAAATAGAGGATTAGTATTAGTTTTTTTTTGGGGGGGCAGGGTTAAGGTAGGTATATATTATTCATTAAATCTAATGTTATATCTCGGAAGTTTGCTTTTTAAAATTGGTATTTACAGTAATTTTCAGGTCTATGCATTTAAATTCTGTGTAATAGATTTTTAATTTTATTTTAAAATTAGACTTTCTTATAACCATATTTTTTTTTTTTTTTTTCCTCTCTCTCTCTCCAGGATTCTGAGGCTTACACATACTTGCTACATCAAATTTCTCCTGCTGAAGCGGTGTTGGTGTTGTAAAGAAATGTCGACCCTTTCATTTAAGCGTCTTACTCTGTCGCTTTCGCTCTTTCATTCTAAGCGTCTTACTCTGTGTCGCTCTTTCATTCTAAGCGTCTTACTCTGTCGCTCGCTCTTTCATTCTAAGCGTCTTACTCTGTCGCTCGCTCTTTCATTCTAAGCGTCTTACTCTGTCGCTCTTTTCATTCTAAAGCGTCTTACTCTTTCATTCTAAGCGTCTTACTCTGTCTTTCGCTCTTTCATTCTAAGCGTCTTACTCTTACTTCGCTCTTTCATTCTAAGCGTCTTACTCTGTCGCTCGCTCTTTCATTCTAAGCGTCTTACTCTGTCGCTCGCTCTTTCATTCTAAGCGTCTTACTCTGTCGCTCGCTCTTTCATTCTAAGCGTCTTACTCTGTCGCTCGCTCTTTCGCTCGCTCTTTCATTCTAAAGCGTCTTACTCTGTCGCGCTCGCTCTTTCATTCTAAGCGTCTTACTCTGTCATTTCGCTCTTTCATTCTAAGTCTTCTTTCGCTCTTTCATTAAAAGCGTCTCTGCTCTTTCATTCTAAGCGTCTTACTCTGTCGCTTTCGCTCTTTCATTCTAAGCGTCTTACTCTCTTTCGCTCTTTCATTCTCGCTCTTTCATTCTAAGCGTCTTACTCTGTCGCTCGCTCTTTCATTCTAAGCGTCTTACTCTGTCGCTCGCTCTTTCATTCTAAGCGTCTTACTCTCGCTCTTTCATTCTAAGCGTCTTACTCGCTCTTTCATTCTAAGCGTCTTACTCTGTCGCTTTCGCTCTTTCATTCTAAGCGTCTTACTCTGTCGCTTTCGCTCTTTCATTCTAAAGCGTCTTACTCTGTCGCTCGCTCTTTCATTCTAAGCGTCTTACTCTGTCGCTTTCGCTCTTTCATTCTAAGCGTCTTACTCTCGCTCGCTCTTTCATTCTAAAGCGTCAACCAGCTCGCTCTTTCATTTCGTCTTCTTTCATTCTTTCATTCGTCTTACTCTGTCCTTCGCTCTTTCATTCTAAGCGTCTTACTCTGTTTCGCTCTTTCATTCTAAAAGCTCTTTCATTCTAAGCGTCTTTCATTCTGTCTCTGTATTTCGCTCTTTCATTCTAAGCGTCTTACTCTGTCGCTTTCGCTCTTTCATTCTAAAGCGTCTTACTCTCTGCTCTTCATTCGCTTCGCTCTTTCATTCTAAGCGTCTTACTCTGTCGCTCTTTCATTCTAAGCGTCTTACTCTGTCGCTCGCTCTTTCATTCAGCGTCTTACTCTCGCTTTCGCTCTTTCATTCTAGCGTCTTACTCTGTCGCTCGCTCTGACTAGATATTTTTGGTCTTAAAAACTTTTAGTAAATTTCTGAATTCTAAGTAGATAAGAATAAACCCAAACTCACTAGTGAGTACCTTGTACATGAAAGTAATTCTAATAGTCTGTAATCGTTGTTTGAATTTCTTGTAAGCTAATTTCTCTAAAAAAAAAAAAAAAATATTTTATACATTCTTTTTTTTAATGTATTTCTTTTGATGTGTTTGAATTATTTTAATTTTATCTGCTTGATTCCCAAGAATTTTATTTTATTCCACCCTTCTGACTTTAGAGAATTTGCTCATTCCCTTTTTATTGCTTTGGGTGTTAGCCATTTAATATCTGAAAAATCTCTGCTTTTCCATTCTGCATTGCTTTCCATTTTTCAAATTCTCTAATTTCTCTTTCTTTCAGGTCAACGACCATCTCAAGAGGGCTGAGTGCATGCTACAACAGGCCAGCAAAATTGGCTGCCGTAGTTTCTTGACTCCCAATGATGTTGTCAACCCGAATTACAAGCTGAATTTGGCGTTTGTGGCCAATCTGTTCAACACTCATCCTGCCTTGGACAAAGCACCAACTGATGTTGAATATGAAATCATTGATGAAACCAGAGAAGAGAAAAGTAACCTTAATCTCTTATTTATATCTCTGTTTATTTGTCATTTTTCTTTTCTCCCCCCCACCCCCTTGTTCGACGACTGATTGAAAAATATTGATTTATGAATCGCATTGTTACTAAGTTTCTATTCGGTTGTCTTGTTTTTTCCAAGATCTGAAAAATGTCTGGTCTTCCAGTCAACAGAAATTTCTAACTGGCAGGAAATTCCAACGCCAATCTCTTAATGATACTCTATCAAAGTATATTGTTGATTCGGTTATTTGATGTAAATTAAGCCTTGACAATTCTTTCCCAACTTTTTTTTTCCAATCACCACCCTCTCCCCACCCAAAGGCTTGACCTTTTCATTTTCTACAATGTCATAATCCTTGGTTAAAGAAATCTTGCTGGAAAGGTCAAGAATCTGGCCTAATTTTATATACCTTGTATATGAGTAGACTTTATATTGTTTTTTTCTTTGTTTGCTTTTGGTGTGGGGAGGAGTTGTTATTGATTGTTTTTTTGTTTGGGTTTGTCTTTTCTTCTTTTTTTTTTTTTTTTTTTTTTTTTTGTTTTTTTAGGTTTTTTTTTTTTTTTTTTTTTTTTTTATAACTACAGTGCATATACCATTAGTCTGCATTGAAGCAGTTTCACAATTCTTTATGGTTTGCCATTCCTAGCCAATCATGTCTATATTATCACCTTTCCCGGCAGAATTATTATGCTTCTTTTTGGTTTTTACTCCCACAAATGATATCTATTTTCTAACTTAAATAGGCCAGCCAAGATTTATGTAAACAAACAATTTGCCTATTTACTTTGCTAATCTAATAACCTGCATATGTACTTTTTTTTTTTTTTTTTTTTTTTTTTTTTTTTTATTTGCAATCCAAGTTTTAAGAGAATCTCTGTTCAAATCCCTATTTTCACCCCATTATGTGAAACATATTGGACAGATTAGTTCGTATGTATGAAAATCACCCTTTTTTTTGTTAATTCAATCTAAATAAGTTGTCCAATTCTCTACAAGACAATTGATCTTGTTTTCCTTGTTGTAGGATTAAATCCTGTTTACATTGAATTAATTTCATTATTCATTAACTTTCAGCTTATCGTAACTGGATGAACAGTGTGGGGGTAAATCCGTTTGTATACAACTTATACAGTGACCTGACAGATGGACTTGTCCTTATTCAATTATTCGACATCATCCGTGCTGGAATTGTCAACTGGTCTCAAGTTGTCAAACAATTCCACAAAATGAAGTGCAACTTTGAGAAACTTTGTAAGTATGAAATAAATTCTTTTTCTTTTTGACTAATTGCCTCTTGATAACTCGGTATTCTTTTTTTATTGCCTGGTATACCATGCGGAATCAGGTTCCCCCCGCTGTACAAAACCTGTGGTTCACTTGAGATAGAGGATTACGTTAAGGGGTAGCTTATATGGATAAGAGGGGAAGATAATGGTTAATTCTAGACTTGAACAAGTTAAGATTGTAGTGTTAGGTGGAAACATTCCCTTTAGGCGTCTGTTCCACAGGGAAGTGGTTTGTGGGAAGAAGCTGTTTGAGTGGAACTTCTTGCTAATGGAATATCGAGGGAATGTGGGTTGTTTGCTACTATGTTACATGGTAGGTCCTAGCCAGGAAGATTAGACTTTGTGGAACCAGGAAATGCAGTTCATCCAAGCACTTCCCATGGCAGTAGCAACAGAGCAATGAAAGACTCGCCACATCCCATCTGTGAGAGAGGTTGAAGATTGGATAATAATTCTTCAACAAGGACTCTAGAACTGAATGAAATTTTGGAATTTACCTACAGGTGACAACATAAGGACAATTCTGACCCTGAATCCATAAATATTCAGGATATGGAATTAGTAAAGGATAAACACTTTGCTGCATGACATATTTAATATGAGAGATACAGAGATCGAACTTTAAATAAACCACCTAAGGAAATTTCCACAAAACTGAAACATTAACCTAAAAAGTCCAAATCCTGTTCTTTTAAACACAATTCTTAAATTCTTAGCTTGAGACTTTCATATGGATATCATCTGTGGCACCAGAACTGTTCAGTAATATCAAGACTGTCAGCTGAATACAACTGTTTTCTCAGATCAATGATTAAAAATGGCTTTGGACAAGTGAAGTTTGTGGGTCTTAGTGATGACCATTTCTCTTCAAACCCCAGAAACTGGCACTATAGAATTTGTAACCAAGAACTGTACCAAATAACAGAAACCACTTCACTTGAGGACTTTCAGCATAGACTAAAACACATATCCTGTAACTCTGAGAAAATAAGGACATGATCAAGATGTTGAAGTTTAATGCTATTACAAAGACAGTTAGGAAGTAAGTCATTGTCACTACTGTAAAGAGTGATAACAGCTACTAGACTTGGGAAGCATTTTCCTGAAAAATTGTTTTAATACAAGTTTTTATATATTCCAACTGAAGTCGGCACTGAAGACTCAGTCAATGAATACCAAATGTTTCCTTATAAGCAAACTGCTAATATTAGCATTACCCTTATTTGCAATAAAACTAAAGTGTATTGTTGGTTTGTAAGTTAATGTCTATCTTGAGTGCAGTTTTTAAATCTGAAGACTCATGTTGGTTCAAGTCCAATTGGGAATGACTGCAAAAACATCACCCACTCCTGAAATTTATAGACAAAACATACAGATGCATGATGGGATTTCTTCCCAACCAATAAGATAGGCCACTTTCTGGGCTCATCTGACTTCGTTCTTTCTTGTCCTGAAGTCAGAATGCTGCGATCACTTGTCTGTATCTTTTTGTTTGCGAACTTTTTGCCTTGCTGCTGTTTCCACAATATTATTTTTGCCTTGTTCTTTTGTTTCTTTCGTTATTGTTTATTGCAAATTTTGTCAATTCTATTTGTTGGGCATTTCTGCTAATTGCATTTATCCCAGGCCAATTCCTCTCCAGCATAGAATAATTTTAATAAACCTACTGAGTCTTTGTCCCTTAAGAATTTATCCAAATCTCTGAAGTGACTGCACATGTATGCAAGCCGTAAGAAAGATAAGATTGCCTTCAGTGCCTTTTTACACAGAAGTTTAGAGAAACCTTCATCAATACCAGAAAGAACAAGAACAGTTAGTGGACCTGAAGCCTATTTTCCTGGAAAAAAAAAGTTTTAAGAGAAAGATTTTATAAATTTCAACTGACAGTAATGCTAAATGTTTGGTCAATGAATGCTAAATGTGTCCTTGAATGGAAACTGAATATAACCATTGTCTTAATGTGGTATTTGCTATTTTCCAGCTAACTGCAATTATGCTGTGGATCTTGGAAAACAGATGAAATTCTCAATTGTTGGTATTGATGGCCATGACATTGGACAAAACAAAGTCCTTACTCTTGGTAATTTTTTTTTTTTTTTTTTTTTCTTGAATACTTTAATATGCAGATTTAGTAAATAAAGCCTTAGATTTATTTTTCTTGCAAGAATTGTTGTTGAAGACAGAAATACAGTATAACTATTTAATTCCTGGAATGATCACCACTTCTTGAAATAATGGTTAGAGCAGGCATCAAAATGTGTGCCTGTGGTCATACCTCACTGTCTTGAAAGATTTGCAATCGACCCCATGTGTTTGGGTTTGTTTGTTTGTGTTTTTTAAGCTACTTGTCAGTGTTGGCTGAAGCCGTTTAGGCCAGGGTATGCTCACAAGGGAATGAAGTCTGAAAAAGATTCACTTGGAGACACTGAAGAAAAGTCAGTGTGTGTGGGGAGAATCCACTTCTATTTTTCCAATAGCAGTTCTTGTGGCGTGGCGGTGAATATCATACATCCGTCTTGATGTGGCAACTGATGGACACTCTTTATACAAGGAAAGAACAGCACCTTCTCACAAGCCTTCTGTTATATATCTGTGGTCACACTACCAAAACAATGGAATATTTGATCTTTGTACCATCTGTGAATATGTGCAGATTAAAATAGACAACTATTATTTACTCAACTCTGTATAACTTAAGCAGGTGGCCTTAAATTGCAATAGTGTCACTTATCCGATTTTTATCTCAATGAAGTAGGTGATCTCAATACATCAGAAAATAAGGCTTATTGCAACCAGCTGCACAGTGTTATATCTGAACATATTCCAACTTGCACTCTCTTCAGATGCAGACCAGGTGTTATTAATGACTGAGCAGTAGCAGAAGTTGCACGGTTTATATTGTTAGCAGAAAATGAGTGAAAGGAATCGAGGGGGAGTGGAAAATAAAGTCTCCCTCCCAAAATCACAATTCTACATAAACAAATCTATTAAGGATAGAAGGTGAGGATTGAGAACTTCTTGCCCAGATATGGCGGCAATACACCATTTTTGGATCAAAACTGACTCTTGTAAAGATAAATCCTGGCAAAGAGCTGCTGGACACTTGAAGCGATAGAATGAGCCATCTCTCTTCCTATTTACTGCTGAAAATGTCATCGCTGTCAAAGATACATGAAGGACATTTGAACAATCAAGTCGAGTGTTCTTTTACTGGTAGCACATGTTGCTTTGTATTAGTGCTTTTGTCTTGGTGAAGCAATAATGGATCATTCGACTGAACTGAAAATAGTTATGCTTTATTGCACAGAAAAAATATTTTGCAGTTTGCTTTTGCATTGAGTTTAATCAATTTGTTTTTCTCATTAAAAAAATAAATAAATAAAAAAAACTAATAAAAATGTATGGAAAATGTGTGTTTTTTTTTTTTTTTTTTAAACCTTTCATTTGAAATTCTCTTATTTGTTCTTAACAGCCATTGTTTGGCAATTGATGAGAGCATACACGCTTTCTATACTACGAAAATTGACCACCACATCTGATGCGGGAGCAAAGGACATTAGTGACAGAGATATTGTTGAATGGGCAAATATGAAAGTAAGAATTCTTTTTTTTTTCATTTTTTGCTTTTGTCAAACTCAATCTCTTTTTCTAGAGAGGGGGGGGAACTCTTCATATTTTCAGTTTATTTATTAAATATTTATTTATTAGTAGTTGTCATCGTCGTTAATAATTAATTTTTGTTGGGTTATTTTATAATCTATTATACAAACTATTCCCCCCCCCCACTCCCAGTCCTTCTCCACTTCCAGCCTCTTTCTTGAGTATTTCTTTACACTCATTTAAACCTACTTTGTAAAGAAGTTACAAAGGTGTGCTAAAAAGTTCTTGGCCTAAGAATTTTTTCTTTTATAAAATCTGACCAAATAGTAGAACAGGATTTTTTTTCACTCACTCGCATACCTATCTTGTGTGTGTGTATATATATATATATATATATATATATATATATATATATATAAAGGTGTCAGTTGAATCTGCTACTTTTGGTTTCAACCTTATGGTATCCTCAGGCGATTTTTGTCAAATAACCTTTTAATGCTTTATTTTTAAAAAAAATGCTGTATGTTTATTTTATTGATTAATTTTTTTTAAAATAATCAAATGCACAACATTGGGTGTAACAGAAAGGGAGGAGGATGTGAAAAAGGAAGGGAGAGAACAAAAGCAAGAGTATTATAAATGTAGTAGTGGGAGGTTAATTGAAATGCACTTTTTTTTTTTTTTTTTAATCCAGCCTCGTATGTGCTTAAGAGGAATTTCTTAATATGTAAGCAAGGACTCAAGACTTCGAATTTCTGGTTCAAAAGGTTCTTTGAATCCGGAAATGTCATAATTCCTAAAATATATATAAAATGTGATATACACATACATATGAAAGATATATTTTACATACTGTCACTCAAAAATGTATAGGATGTTTAGTTTTAATTTAAACAATTTAAGTTTTTTTTTTATTTGTTGCTTGAATGTAAAAATTCCTTTCCCCAAATATGAGTTTTTCGTGTTTATCTTTTTAGTTTCTGTTTTAAGCAAAAAAAGAAGGAAAAAAAAAAAAAAGGAAACTTACAAAAGTCAAAAGGGAGACAACTCAGGATATTTTCTTTTTTCCACAGCTGAAAGAAGCAGGAAAGAGTTCTTCTTTCTCCAGTTTTAATGATTCTAGCCTTTCGACTGGCAAAGCCATTATCGACTTGGTTGATGTCATCCGGCCAAATTCTATCAATTATTCTTTTGTCAAGGATTGTGAAAATGACGAGGTAAGTTTTTCTTTTTTTTTTTTTTTTTTTTTTTTTTTTTTTTCCCCCCTCCACAAATGTACTAATGATGGATGCCTTGCACTGATCACTAACCTAATATTACTCTAGTAGTCAATATCGATCCTTCATATTTGTTGCCTTGTTACTGACTAAAGTCAGTAAAAATTCAAAAATAAGACTATAGCCTGTCATTTTTCATACTACACAATAAGAAAAAAAAAAAAAATTCCAAACTTTACTCCTGAAGATTAAGTGTTCTGAATTTGTTGGATTTTTTTTTTTTTTTTTTTTTTTTTGTAGGAATTTTGGGGAGATGATTTAACCCATAACTAGCAGGAAAAGAGGTGGATTCATACCTTTCCCAAGGGTATTTGTGCATAAGCAAATGAACCCAACTGGAATTGGAACTCTGCTTACTGATTTCCAACTCTGAGCCATTATTCATTCTACCACCAGCATATCCAAGCTTAAGGCAAATAGTATTCCCAAGCAGTCACCCATTTAGCTACTGACCAAGCTCAATGTTGCTTAACTTTGATCAGAACATCTAATAACAATGTAAGCTGAATTTACTAAATTGTGGTTAAAGATGACTGTATAATTTCTTTGTGCTACCAATGCTCTTGAGATTGGTCCTGAATACCAATTCTTCAAGATAGACGTGAAATGGTTGAAAAGCTTCAGCCTGGTCTTTTGACTTCTCCCACACAAATGGTTAATTGTATCAGAAAATAACATTTCTTGATCATGTTTCAAAACGAACAAACTTGAACAAAATTATTTCTTTCACTTGGGTTGACTAAGAATTAAATGGTGCAGAAAATGAACTCTGCTCCCAATTCAAATTCTAACAGTTTTTGTCGTGGTCGCATTTATCTATCATGGCTGGCTGGAAGTTGACTCTAAGCAAAGACTTCTTTCTTTCTTTCTTTTTTTTCTTTTTTTTTTTTTTTTTTTTTTTTTTTTTTTATTATTTTGTGCCTGGTAGGGCAACGCGGAATCCTTGCTTGGCCAGCAACGACTTGACATGTCAATGAAGTTGACTTAATTCTGCAGAGATATACATATATAATGACAGAATAGGTATAATTAACTACTGAATTGCTTTTACAGGTAACAATTGCTCTCTAGACACCCATCATCAACCTGATAGGAAGTCTAAAATGTCACATGAAAACCTAAGCTTTTGATAGTTTTTACCACATTCCAGATATGAGTAATTGTTTTCCACAGGGCAATCATATATTAAAATATCTCTCACACTAACAAGAAAACCACAGAGCATCAAACAGAAAAGCTAATACGATTGACTATTGGGTGTCAGGAATAACAGATTTTTGGCAATCGAAATTGTGTGTTGGCAAGCATGTGTCTAAGAACAGGTGAGCACATATGGAGTGACTTGATCGACTGTTGCAATTATGGCAAAGGCCTTTTATCTTCAGAAGCAGGTCGGGTGACTTGTGGAGTGAACCTCGTGTGAACGTCTATGAAAATAAAGTCGATGACTGACCTTGGTGAATTTTTGGTTTTTAATTCAAGAACGATAAAAACTGCAGGACCAGTTGAAGAAATAGACACTGCTAAACTTAACCCAATATTTGCAAATTTATTTCTATTAAAGTCGAACCATGCCAATCTAATGGCTGATGTCACTTGAATGTTTTGAAAACATAACCAAAATAAAACATAGTGTAAATAACTCGTCTGTGGCATTAAGACAGAAATGTCACAATGTTTATTGTAGTGATTTTCTAAGCTTGGCTTAGATGTGGTACAAGGCCAAAAGTATGGAGCACCCAGTGAGGATCAAACTGACTACTCAGTCTTAATGGATCTAGCAAGACAAGCTTTCTAACCATTACACCATGTTGAGGTGACCACAATGTTTTATATGTTGCATTTTAGTTGATTCACAATGTAACTATATTACATATGCCTTTTTATATACCTATACTGATACAAAACCAATGTGACTAAAATACTTTCTCAGAACATGATTAGGGGCAGGTGTATGTGTGTGTGTGTATATATATATATATAATTTTATATTTATATTATATATATATATATATATATATATATATATATATATATATATATAATGCTGCAGAACAGAATTACAGTAATTATTTAATAATGTGCATCTTCATTGGTTATATTTTCTACATGATTAATGTAGCATGTTAATTTCTACAATTAAATCTACTGCCAAGTGTAAGAATTTATTTTTATTTTTTAAATTATTAAAAGTAAAAAAAAATATCCAAAGAATGATTTGTTTGGCATCAGAAGCCTGATCTACTTACTTAGTAACAATATATTCCTTTATAGGCATTGATTAAAAGCTTGTAAGACTGTTAGATTTTTTATTATAGATAAGTTGCAAATCATGAGATTCTATTGAGATAGTCCCACGAAGGAGGCCACTTCAATGTCTTGTTACCAGAACAGAATCAAATTGTGACATCTGATTGCTATTATGGCGTTGTTTGATTTATCTTTCCTTTTGACAATTAAAAAAAAAAAAAAACAAATGTATGGGAAGTTGTCTCCCTTGACTTTGTTTGCGTACTAAATATTTAACTAGCCAAATCCCTGCCTTACGAAAATTTCTCTTAATAAAAAATTCAGCAGACGATATTTTATTCATGACTGGATTTTTGTATTCTTGGTGGTGGTGGGGGTTATCGCCTTACTTGGGTTCTATTGTTTGATACTGCCTCTCCAAAAATAAAATAAAATAAATAAAATAAAAATAGCCAAAGGCAGTTTGATGGCAACTGCAAGAAATGCATTAAGATAAAAAGATTATCTGCCTGAGGACAGATAATCTGCATTTCTTCTCTTGGTTGCATCTGTCTGCAGACAGATCGCAACTGAAAATACTGAAGTGTCTGATGTCAGGGCAAGCAGCTGTACTTCTCTCATTGCACTAAAGAGGGGAGTGGGGGGGAATCCATCAGGGCTGGGCACACACTCAAGCTCCCCCCCCCCAAAGCACATGACCTTGTTTCATCCTGCCAATGCGGGACAGCCAGAGGAAATACCATCCAAAAGGGCAAGAAGTGATTGTATCAAAATGTAGTATCTGTTCTTATCGGCTTAATTAAATTCTCTTTTCATTTTCTCACTGAAACAAAGTAGTAACTAATGAAGGGAAGGACAAGCACAACTATAATTAATTCTATTCATTGTCTGTCACCCTTTATTGGTAGCAGAATGGGTGTATCTCTTAACTTTCAAGTTTGAAAAATTATTCGCCTTTTTTTTTTTTTTTTAAAACCAGTATTCACCCCCAAAAAAAAAAAAAAGTTTGGAAAGCGTTTACAATACCTCTTAGTTTGGAATGGGCATCTCAGGAAGACACTTCCTGAATTTTGTTTTCCTTTCAACACTTGTAGTTTTTGATTGTAGACAAACATTTAATTGCATTAATTGGTCAACACTGATTTTACACGGATACGTTTATTTCCTTTTGTATTTATTTTCCAAAAATCCTTTTGGCTGTGAAATGTTACAAATTTTAGAAACTGTCCTAAATTGCAAAAGTAGAATTTGATCTTCTCATTGATTGCATCTGTCTTTACCAAAATTAGGTTGAGTTCAAGGATGTGGGGTGGGGGGGGATGTGCTGAATTATTATTATTTTTTTTATTTTTTTTTCTTTAAGGCTTTGATATATATATATTTTTTCTTGTAATTTCAGGAAAAGCTTGACAATGCAAAATATGCAATTTCAATGGCCAGGAAAATTGGTGCTGGTGTATATGCATTGCCTGAAGATATTATTGAAGTCAAACCCAAAATGATTATGACCATCTTTGCTTGCCTGATGACTCTTGACGTTGAGCCTGACAAAATTCCGCTTACAGAAGATCCAGAATAAACCTCTTTTTCTGCTAACCATTTTCTTTCCTGCCCCCCTTCATATGTGAACTTAATACAGTATGCACTGGCATGTGCACTTGCACAGTTTTTTTTTTTTTTTGTTGGGGGTGGTGCCTTGCACAACTGAAACTCTCTGCCTCCCTTTTCCATGGGGTGGGGAAGCAATACTTTAGTGCCCATGAGCTCCTGTTTTTCCTTCCAAAATCTAAAATTTCTTTCACTCTGACATTTGAAGTTTTATTTTGAGGTGAAGGTTTTTTTCCCTCCATCTTGATATATTGTTTATTCTCTCGAGGATTAAACTTGTGACGAGATCTCTTACTAAAATATTTCTTGTCCCCCGCCCCTACAAAAAAAAAAAAAAAAAATCCTGACTAGCACCTGCTTCTTTTGACTCCACTATATGATCTTCTGTTGTAACATTAATCAGTGTGAAGGCCAATAAGGTATTCAAGAGCATGTTATAAAGCCCCCTCCAATATATGTATCTTTTATCTACTTTTTATTTGTTAAAAAAAAAGGCAAAAAAAAAGCATCTCATCCTATATATATATATATATATATATATATATATATATATATATACCTTAATATTGTATTCTTAACAGAAAAGTTAATTTTCCAACCATTTTTAATGTGTATAGTTACAGAAAGAAAATGTCGCCCCCGATTTGAGATCTATGAACCCTTCTGGGAAGAGTAAATATTTCTGGAAATGATTCTTCTATTCTAAGGATGATCTTTCACCATGTCCATTTTGTATTCAAGCCAAGGAATAGATGTAGCTCTTATTTCTATTCCTACTGCATCAGGAGCAAAAGAGAGAGAAAAAAAAAAACATTATTTCTAGAGGTGAAATGAAAAAAATTTCAATTTTCTTTTTTTTTTCCTCTCTCTGGCCAGCCTTTCTTTCTGTTTTGCATGTTCTGCCAACTGAACTTTGCTCCTCCAACTGGATGTTGCCTTTCTCCTAATTTGGCAGGATCCATTATCATTTCATTACATAATTGCTGTTGTTATTGTTTGTAGTAATGTTAGTCCTTCTCTAACTCATTTGCATTCATTTCAACAAACTTTCTGAGACGTGATGAAAAACAAAGGAAAATTAACAGTTAACAGCTCTTTTTACATTGACTATCCACTTGTGTTATTAAAACATTTTTAAAATCAACTTCTGGTTTGTGTGTGTTGTTTTTTTTTTTTTTTTTTTGTTTTTTCTTTCAACATTTCAGCATAAAGGACTCCTGATCACTTAAGGTTTTTATTATAGATTTTTTTTTTTTTTTTTTACCTAAACTGAATTTTCTCATGTGTTGATAATCCTGAACAATTAAAGGTAAGTATTTATTTTTTTTTTTTTTTTTTTTTTTACTAGGTGTAGTGGTTGGAAAACCTTGCAAAAACCAAATAATTGTCTGATTGAATAAAATTTAAAGTGTTGTTGTTTTTCTATCAAATACCATTTACCAAAACTATGCTCAGAATTGTGAAATAAATTTCAGTTTTATTGCATTTTTTAATTAGAAAAGTTTTTAATCCCTCTTGTGATATATTAAGGATTTTATTTGCGAGTGTGTTTTTGTTTTCAGTTCCATATTACTTGATCATCTGAAAATGAATGGCTGATATCAAGACCTATATTTACTAACCAGAAATGAAAAGCTTAGTACAAATCAAAAATCAATATTTTGAAAATGTGGCTTTTAACAGCTAAAGTCTCCCTAGAATATTAAATAGTTTCCATTGTGTTAAAAGAAATGTAAATCTGCAATATCGTAAACTTAGTTTTTTCAAAAAAAAGTACATTTTATTTTTTGGAAGACTGATATTCTTATTTCAATAATGAAAGACGACTTAAAACACCCCCTCCCTTCCACTCGATTTCAATTAGCTTTTGAAAGGTATTTTGCTTACTGAAACATTAAATTTATTAGTTTGAAATTAAAAATTTTTTTTTTTTTTCTTTTTTTGTGGCAGTACATTCTTTATTTTAGTTTCATTTGTACCTGGAATGAGTTTTATTTATGCACATACTCTTAAAATAATCACTAACAGTTAATGTGGATGTTGTCACAGCATATTTGGTTGTCCTTTTTAGACCAACCAATATGCCGTAGTCAGTCTGTTTCTACCTCATGGTAAAAATAAAAAATCAAATTAGCAGTCTTTCCATCAGAAGTGTTTGTTTGTTTGGCTATGAAATCTCTCCTTCTCCCTAATTTATTTAAAAAAAAAAAACAAAAAAAAACAGCCCTATCCTATTGGCAATGACCTGTTGGTGCCAATCTCCTGGAAGTCATTTGATTAGGGTCAGTTGATGTCAGAAGTATCATGTATGGCTGTATATTTGCCTCCCTTTCATTTATTCTCTAATTCATATAAAGAGAATTTATGCACATTACTGTGTTGTCAAGACCAAGTCAATGGCAGTTTTCTCTTACTCCCCACCCACCCTATTTCGCTTTAATGAATGGAGAGCAAGAAGTCAGAATCTAGAAATATAATTTTCTTAATGTAATAGAAAGCTTTTCAAATACTAAAAAAAAAAAAAAAAAAAAGCTTTTTACTCCTTGTTTTTTCTTTGCTATTCGAAAATATTTAATTTAATGAAGTGGAAGTTTTTTCCTGATTTTGAAATTTAAACTTTTTAAACCAACAAAGTATGATTTTTTTTTTTTTTTTTTTAAAGAAAAAAAATCAGATTTTATACCATCTGAAAGAAACCAAATCCACAGCATGTAATTCAGCAAATACTCTGACTGAATTATTCCAACCTGCATTAATGTTATATTAACCCAATGAATTATTCCAACCTGCATTAATGTTATATTAACCCAAGTGCTAGAAAGTTGTGGAGAGCTATGAACACCGATGCCCTTAAGGAACACAACACCAAACTTTTATACAAAATATATAATTTTAGATATTCCAAATTTAAAATGTTTTATGACCTGACCTTTTCACTATAAAATATTCATTAATGAATAAGCCCTGAACTTCAATTAGATAATTTCCCAATTTCTTTGCTAAAATTATTCAAAGTGTGCCTTTTGGTGATAAATTTCCTAACATTTTTCTTATTTGAAAACATTTCAAATTTCTTTTTGCCATATTTCACTAATGTAATTGTTTACTAATTACTCCACCATGGATCAGAGCTGAATTCGAATTGAATCCATTAGATTCACTTACATGCTAATATCCTTGGGAAAGGTATAAATCCTTCCTTCCAGCTATGGGTAAATAGCAGACTGGGTTCTATAGCCTCATATGGCAATTGGTCTATTGCAGAAAAAAAAAAAAACTGCTTTGTCAGTTATGTATCGAAAGATATAAGATCACCTAAGCGTGTATCCTGCCTGGCACATGACTGACTGAATTGTTAAATTTCAACTGAATGGAACTTAATGTTCAAAACACTTTATTCACAGAATAAGGAAGAGTTACTTCCTCTCTAATTGAACTTAAGTTGCTTTGAGCATTTAAAAAAAAAAAAATGCCCAATTTCTCTTGAAATCTTTGTATAAAAATAACTTTTTACTAAGTAAAACATACAATTTATATTAATTTGCTTAGTTATTTTATAACTGGACTTTAAATGAGCATAAAATTAGGTAAAAGGAAAAAAAAAAAAGTTGGCAACATATGCACATTAGCATAATCATGTTAACTCGGCCATGCCCAAATTAAATAACTTACTGATACATGAAGTCAAATTGAATTTATTTAAAAACTGACTTTTTTTTTTCCTTTTCTCTCTCAATCCAGATTTAATAAAGATGGAAGGGAAATGCTCATTAAGAAAGCTAAAGAAATAAAATTGCCTTTTAACCATAAGTATGGAACACAATAGTATAATGGACACATGTTTCCGAGCTTCTTTTGGGCTGAAATTCAACTTTTCATACATTTATCTTGATCCACTTTTAGCCAGACTTGCAGTGGACTGCTTGGACAATGCAGTGTAGGGTTTGCCTGGAAATAAATTTGAGCATTTAAAGCAAGTACAAAATATTTCATGGTGGGGTGCAACAAGTTTTAAGCAAATCACAGTAACACCATCCTATTTTTTATTTATTTATTTTGGGAGGAGCGGAATCTGGAATCATTTCATCTGAATTTGGTTGTTGAGAGTTGCTTCAATTTGCAAATGCAAGAAGCCTCTCAAGATGATTGATGATGATTTTTTTTTTTTTTTTTCTCTTCTGTTTGATGAAATAAAAGAAATTCAGCAAATAGTAAATCTATTTCTGTCATGTTAATTTTATTGCCATACTTTTAGTCTCCTCCCATGGCAGCCATCAATTTCTTTGCAAATCACCTGTCATCATTTAAATACATGACTTGTCAAAGAGAATATCTATATGAAAAGATGTTGAAAATCAAAAGGCTTTCATTCAATGTGGAAGTTGATCAAATGATTAAAAAAAATATTTTAGAGACAAAAAAAAAAATAAATAGATGGCTGGACTCAGTTATTAAAATCTTTTATTTTTGTATTTTTTTTTTTTTTTCGGGGTAAAGACTTGAAATGCAAGACATGCAACAAATGCTTAATTTTTAATTAAGCACAAAAAAAAAAAAAAAAAAAAATGGAAGATGATGCAAGGAAGAATTTTTCTCTCCTTGTTTTAACACGAAAATAGACGACTTTTTTTTTTTTTTTTTTTCCTTTTTAAATGTTAAGGAAGATAAAAAGGTTTGGAACTAAGAGGCAGGTAACGATGGGGGGGCATTGCAAGGAATAAAAACAGTTGATTTGCATTTTATCTTTAAAGAGAACTTGTAGAAAAATCCAAAGATCCTGAGTCAGAATCACCAGAAAGATGCTACAGCATTTTCTAAAGGGAAAAGAAGAATTTCAACTAAGAAAATTCCAAGTCCTCTTTCCAAATTTTTACTTTTTATTTTAAAAAATAAAATTGGAAAAAAAAAAAGTGTTAGTAAATTGTTGGTCCCTATAGTGCCCCCCAAAAATGTTAGACACAAGTATAGTATGAAAGCTGAAAATGTAATCCTTTTCTACTTTCATGATTTACTTGGATAATAAATCAGGGACCCAATGATGTTAACTAAGTGTTGTATAAAGCATTAAATGCCCATTTCTTTTTCTTACCATACCTGTTGTAGAAGCAGTGATGAGTCAGAAGTTGAAAGTTGTTCATGAATAAAGAAAAAAAAAAAAAATTAAATAGACAGCAGGCCAGACAATAACTAATCTGACAATTATTGTAATAAAAATCAAATTCACAATCTCCATTCATGCTAACTACAAGGCCACAATACACTTTCACAACTGGTTTCCAATACAATTTGTTTCTTCTAAAATTTGATTACAACATTTTTTTTTCTTCTTCCTGTTAATTCTGAAAGTTATCAAGCTGCTGTCTTCAAGAATCTTTTATTAAAGACTGTACATTTTTTTTTCTTTGTGCTTCAGTTTAAGAGATCAGACAATTTGAAATTCATGAGACAACATTCATTTTATTAATTAACACTTAAGAAAAGAAAAAAAGGTTCAGTAGGGAAATATATTGTGACCTTGTAGATTTAGACATTTTTATTTTCTCATAAACTTTCAAACAGTGACTGAATGAGAATCATTTTATTTCAAGGTGGAACAGAGACAGAGTTCCAAGCTTGAGATCACTACATGTCTGGTGTGCGTCAGTTGATACAATATGAGAGACATGATACATGTCCTGGGGAAGAGAGAGAGAGAGAGAGATGAGGCACCAGGTAAAGAAAAAAAAAAAGTGTTGCTGTAGAAGTAGAGGATGAAGAGGCAAATAGGGAGGATAGAAAATTGAATAGAGATGGTGGTGGTGGTGGGGAATCAAGAATACCCAAGTCTTTCAAAATTGATCACCTGCCAAAGATGATGTCGGGATAGGAGATTCAGAAAAGAATATTAAGCAGGAAACCAAAATCAGAGATTTAAGTTTGGAGTGAATTTGTTATCCCAGAATAGGTGCACATGGAAGATGCAGGGTGGGGTGCGGGACTGCTGGAAGGGAGTAGGGAGAGATAGAGCAAGAGACGAAGCATTTACCCTGATTACCCCCACCCTCCCCAACGCAAACACAACATCTTGATGCCAAGAGTTATGGAAGATATAAAACAGCCCCTCATTTAGATTGTCGTCGTTTTGGGTCAAGCAATGATCATTGCCAATGTAGTTGGGACAGGAGTTAATTTCAACTTTTCTAGAAAAAAAATAAAAAATAAAAAAAAAATAAAAAAAATAATAATAAAAAAAAAAAAAAAAATAATAATACATGGTCAAAGAGCTGTGGACAGATTATGGTTGAAACATCTAATGATGTTTCCTTGCTTCTTTAACAAGTGCACAGTGCGAGAAATCAACTGGCTAGGAACAAGAAGGAGGGTGAATCAGTTGGAAGGTCTAACCGGGGGTGTGGGTGGGGTTTCAGGTCAGAACTAATCTGGAGCAACAAGGACCTCAATTCCTTGCTTTAATTTTTTTTCATGTGGACGTATTTCATTCCTAATTTTTCATTATCTGTAACAGAACCTGTGTGCAGATGATGGTTGCTTTGGTCTGGCTGGCTGCTCCAGTTATATATCACTGCATACAGCAGTAAAATCCTTAAGCACAGCATCAGGTTATTGGGGAAAAAAAAACACCTTCATTTCAAAACAGAAAAGCCTTCTCCCTCCCCCCCAAACCCCACCCAAAAAAAAAAAAAAAAAAAAAAAAATTGATTATGACCAGAGATCCTTTCTTCTGTGGCATTACAATTCAGGACCCTTAACCATTTCAAATACATTTTTCTTTTCTTTTTAAATATAAGGATAGGCTTTCTTTTTTTTTTTTTTCCCTTTTCTTTTTAAACAATGCTACATAAGTAACAAATGCATATAGCCTATTAGACTCAGTCATCAATTTGATGATATTAACAGATAAAGTGACCCTCACAAGTGATTCTCATGGGCAGGTGGAATTGGGAGGATAAAAAGGGGTAGATGGTGGATGGGAAGAACAGATCCTCATGGTCAGTTAACATATTGTGCTTCTGTTGTTTACACAGCAGGAGAAAATTTAAGAGTGTGTGTGTGTGTGTGTGTGTGTGTGTATATATATATTATATTATATATATATATATATATATATATATATTGTGTGTGTGTGTGATAGAGAGACAAGATTGGCCAACACATGACACAAACTCACCATTGGTGTGCAAACAGCAAACAGACATTAGATGTTATACAGACCGCAATGTTTCCTTTTATTTTTAAACATAACTTTTTATTTCTCTTCATCAAGTGGGTGGGGAAGAGACGAACCGTAGTGCCAAAATGGCTAATGTCTGGAGAGTAGAGAGCCAAGGGTTGGGTACCAGCACTGTTAAAACTGGTCCCTGCAGTAAAGAGGGAACGGGGAAACCATCACTGCATTTGAAAAGTCAGGAGAGAGAAAAAAAAAAAATAAAATAAAAAAATAAAAAACATTTTTTTTTCTTTCTCCAGAAACTTGGTCATGCTAAAGATGGTAGAAGAATTATTTATTAGTTGTGTGGTTAGAGTTCCTCAAATTTTCTAAGTATTTTTTTTTGTGTGTATGTGCATGTGTATGCGCATGTCTGTGTGTGTGTTTTTGTCTGAAATTTTAATTAATTTATGGTGGTGGTGGTGGTGGTAATGGTGCCTGCCAACCCCTGCAAGCGTTATGAATCTGTTGACTTTGGTGTTCTGTCTTTATTCAACCATGGGTGATTAAGACTCTCCAAGGCCGTTGCACGCTTCTCAGGGTCAAATGCCAACATTGGATGAAGGAAATCAGAAAATTCACGGGCCTCTTTCTCGTCCCATTCATATTTCTCAATGAGGACATCATTCAATCCCCACGGCTTCAATTTTGTTATATGCCGTAGTTCACCTGCAATGACAATAATAACTCTGAAGTTTTCAACGGAACACAGCAAGAAAAAATAAATGAGTATCATCTTGAAGTCAAGGTGAAAAGCATGTTTTAAGACTGCTTATTTGATTGCAATTGCTATAATCTTGTATGCAATTAAAAAAAAAAAAAAAAAAATCTTATGTATACTCAAATTTTGATAAGTGGGTTCAGCTGAGAACTTCCAGCACCCCTTGTATTTCATAACTAACACACAATGTGGATTAGCATAAGCAATGACAAGAAATCCTTTACTTGATACAACTTATAGAATTGTATTTTATTTCAGAACATGAAGAAATTATCTTAAAAAAATTAAAAAGAGCAATTCACAACTGAAAATGATTAATTACAAGTTTGAAACGTTAATAACTGTTTTTAAAAGCTTAATTCAGGATTTGTACAAACATTTAAAGTGGAGGAGTAATGGTGACATTTTCTTTTTTAATCTATTAACAAGCAAAAGGTGTGAAAACATGCTTATTACTTATTGACATCTGCAACAGATTAGAAAGAAAGAAAGAAAACAAACAACAAAAAAACAAAAAGTTCCCCTTATAAAAGGGGGCACAAAAAGAGATTCTTAGAAGAGAAAATATCTTCCTCAACGTGACTGAAAAAAAAAAAAAAAAAAAAAAGGCGGGAGCGGGCAACAAAGTTTTATAATTTCTGACTTGACGAGTTAACTCCCTTGCGCTATTCCAATCGTGTAACAATTTCACTGGTACAGCATGATAGTTGCAAAATTCTCTTAATTTAATATAATGGAAAGATTGTTCTTCAGTTGTTGGCAGAAAGCTTACTTGTTGAAACAGGTTTTTGTTAATTTAGATGTTTTATTGACGTTCATTAAGAATTAACAAAAAAAGCATTTCAGAAAACTGACTTGAATGTAAATTCAAACTCTTCTTATCTCCATATTTCTGTTCACACAATGTGAAATTGAATGATTATAGCACTAATACAATCGGATGATGTGTATTGCTTTGACAATAGCTTAGTTTTCGTAAGCTTTACCTTGTACAAGGCCAAGCTTCTTGTTATCTTCCATCCAATATACTACTAAATAAACAATGACTAATTAGTTACAGTAGTATACATTGTACTCAAAAGAGAGTTTTCACCTGTTCAGCTCCTGGATTATATTGATTGTCATAAGCACCAGGTTCAATTCTCAGGAGGATGAGAAGCAAATATGCCATATTGTAGATATAAATCTGTTTTATGTAAAAAAAAATCCAGAGATTTAAAATTATCAATGGAATAACAATCTTGTTCTTTTTTTTGTTTTTTTTTAAGAACTATAACCAGAATAAATAGAAGATATAATAAACGGAGTGGTGACCAAGAGATATATGAACAAGAAATGATCAGTATAAGCAGTGCCCTACAATGTAACAGCAACCCTGTGTACATGGCAGCAGCTCTGACAAGCTGGCATAGAAGGGTACAAGAGGATAACAATACTCAGAAAACAGCTACAGTCTGACTACCCTATAAGAAGGAATTATTAGAGAAAATACAAAACACAATGTTATAATACATAACATCAGGACAAACTTCAAAAGGTGGTTTGACACTTTGCAGACACCTCTTCTGAGTAAGACCCCCACACCCCCCATACAGGAGAACATGACTAAGAACTGCATGTATGCAGCTGTGGTAAGAAATATAAAGAAGAAACAGGCCACCCCCTTAAGGTAAAACAGGCCACCCCCTTAAGGTAAAACAGGCCACCCCCTTAAGGTAAAACAGGCCACCCCCTTAAGGTAAAACTGCAAGAACATTGTAAAACAGTAACACGAGGGGAAATAGAAAAATCAGGCACAGCTGACCACATATGGAGGCAAAAGGGCAGTGCTGCTTGTGGGATGAGGTTGAAATAATAGACAGAGAACATCACTGGAAAATACAAAAACTTAAGGAATCAGCAGATATGCTAGCATAAAAATCTTCTGAGCTGACAAAGGATGGAAATGAATACAATGAGAACCAGTAATAAAGAGTGCTAGAAAAAAGCAATAACAACAACAAAATTGCAATATTAGCTCTGGTAAAAAAAATGATTTCTGAGAATTTAAGTTTATAAGACTCAAAAATTCATACAGTGAGGTTTTCAGTGGATAAAAGTGTTGGTTGGATCCAGTGACTTGACCCAAAGGGTTGAGAGTTCAATACCTGGCTACTGCAGTAGTGAACAAGAACTTGGAGAGAGTTAAAGGCAGATATCCGGAAGAGGCATGACATATGGAACTAGAACAATCTACCAATTGAAATTCCAATCACCTGAAGAAGGCCAGCGTGTATAATGGCCAAAATGTTGCGAATATGCCAATAAAGATGAGGACAAGTCTGAATAATGTAAATAATTTCAATATCGCATCTCAGAAATATAGAATATATAACTATTTAAAAATAGTTATATATTCTATATTTCTGAGCAAGGAGGACATTTAAAAATAAATATTTTGAAATTGGGGGGTGGGTTGATTAAAATAAGAGGAATTCCTTTTTCAAGGTAAGTGACTGGAAGTGTGTTTTTACAGGAGAAAATTTCAATGAACAGAATTGTTTCTTTCAAAGAGGAAGTTCAATCATATAAAAATACTCTCAGCTAAAAAGGAAATTGGTTCTAAATGCACAGCGTGAGTGTAAACTTACCTTTTGTGTGTGTGTGGGTGGGAGGAAGTAAAATTTATTCAAACAGAAAAATTTGTCAGCCACTAAATTGTCTTGTATATTCACAGGATAGATTTAAAAAACTATTCAACAAAACACCACAATTTAAAACAAAACACACACACACAAAGTGGTGGTGAAAATTCCTCAGCTGAAACCCCTTCCTCCAAAATCCATCCAAATGACGAAATGATTAGAATTTATTTTTGGAATCCCCATTTCAAGATCACTATGGGTTTTAGATAGAGTGTTATAAATTCCATTTTTGCTCTCCTTCCTCATCTTTAGCAATGGCTCTCCTCATTTCCTTGTAGGATTCATCATTGCGTGAAGTGAAATTTCAATATAAACTTAAAATAAAAAGTCACAATTCAAAAGCATAAAGAAATGGATAATGGCAGTCAGCTTAAGTAAGGTCAAGAATAAAAAATGATGACAAATGATGCTTGAGTAATTTGTATGAAAAACACAAGCAAATACATACATAAAAATTGCTGCCATCCTATCTAATCAAAAACTTGAAATGTGTTTCAAATTAAAATCTGATGTTCCTTAATTTCCAAGTCTGTCTGAGAAACAGGCTAAACTGCAAGAGGGAGGGGGAAAAGAGAGGGGAAAAAAGAAAGATTAAATTGAAAGAAAGGGAGGGGGAAAAAAAGAAAGAAAGAAAACAGACTGATAAATCTTAAGAGTTCAATTAAGTTAAGGATTATCTAATTTTCATCTTCCTTCGATATTACACTTCTCATTCATTATTGGGCATTTTTTTTCTCCTTCCATAGAAACGTAGACATGAAATATACATGAAACAATTAGTTAAAAATGCACCAACCTTGAAAGAAAGAAATGACTAAACTTGCTAATTATCCAAAGCAGAAGCAAATAGGTTTACCTCCACTAAATTCCTCCACCCCTAACAACTCACGCAACCCCCCCCACAAACAACAAAGAGGTTTCTAAGATTCTTTTCTCTTTCCCTGTAAAGAGTTTGAATGTGAGAGATGACTGGATTAGTGGAATCTTTTTCTACCATTTTTTTTAATAATCCAACTGTCAGAAAGTGACAAGACAAAAAATGAAAAAGGAGAGAGATGTTTGGCACTGGGCTAAATTTGTGCAAAAAAAAAAAAAGAATCTGATTTTAAAGCAGGCAGCAAAAAAAAAAAAAAAAAAAAAAAAAAAGTACTTTCCTCACATGTAATGATTACAAAGAACATAAGCTTAAAGCACCCCCCCCAACATCACCAGATAATACAGTATTTACAATCATTAAACCTGATAAATATTATTAAAAAAAAAAGAAAACCTTGACATATAAATAAAAACCACTTTTTAAATATAGAAAATTTAAATATTGCCTTGGTTTATTTGAAATTTATTTCTTGCAATTCAAATAATAAAATGACCCCCCCCCCCCACGAAATTTTAAAAAAAACTGGGACAAGCATAAACGAAACAAAACCTCGTAAGTAAACAAATTCTTTCTCATCTTTTTGATACTTGCAAATGTCAAAAGTTGTAACAAAGAAATAGAAAACAAGTGGAAGCAAACTAGGCAAAAAATATTAAAAGGGCACTCAATTTGGGAGGGCAGAGGAGAGAAATTGATGCAGGTAGGTGTTGAGGCTGAACGACCCCCACTCCCCACCCGAATGGTTAATGTCATACAACCAATGTTGGAAAGAAAGATCATCAACAAAGAGAAGCAAACATTTTCCATGGTGCAGGCAGATGAGAAACGACAGTTTCCAAGTTTAAATAAAATGTCCAAATAAGATTTTATTAAAGAATAAAGGTAGTTACAAAGGTTTCATCAGGGAAGTGGATTTTTTTCTTCTTCATGCACAAGCAACTTAAGTAACCCACTACTCCTCCTCTAAAACTAATTATTCTCATGAAAATGTTTGGAAAACTGAAACTTGTTTAAATGTTAATTTTCAAGTTCATGCAATTCTAAAAACTTTGCATTCTTACAAGAGAAAAAAAAAATACAAAACAGATGGATTGGTGTTAACTATCTACTTTTGTGCCATGAGTCAGTGAAATTGAAGCTAATTGTGAAGACTTGCAATAGAAGTAAGATTACTTTTAATATGAATAGTCAGCTAAAATTATCTGTACACACATCTTGGCTTGTCGTAAACTTATAAAAAAAAAAAAGTCATAGCTAGTAGTAGTAGTATTGTCAAGTTTGTTAGCCCCCATTTGTATTGTCTAAAAGCAAAAGATAACCTATAGAATGCATTTTCTTGCTGAATGCCCAAGAAAGTACTCACTTATCAGATCTCCATCTGTGGTTCCATCATCTGAGGAAGGAAGATGGTGAGAACATTTTGGATAATTTACAATCCTACACCATAGAATGATAACAGGAGAAACAAAAAATTGTTACAGCAACAAAATAGAGAAAGAGACACACACACACACACACACACACACACACACAATAAATGAGAGCCATTGGATTTTCAAATGGCTACTCAAGCCAAATATTGACAAAACCATAAGGAAACAAGTCGGTCAAAGCAGCCATGTTATTCTCAGCAATGAGTTCACCTATCCTAAAAGAATCACTCTTCTAAATAAGCAGATAGAATGTACATGTGCAAACCAAGAGATGGAACAACAGGAGATAACATGACAAAAAAAAATGTCTGCATTTATTAACAATTATTGTAAAATTAATAGAAAAAAAAAAGTTGTTAAACAGCAAAAAGAACAGACTGACTGGGGACTGGAAAGATTTGAAAGATCCAAATATAAGAGAGCAAGGAAGAGAGAATAAATTCATTGTTACATCTAAAATTTAACTTATTTCAAATGCAGTCATTAAAACTTCTATACTGAAGAGACAAGAGCTATATTGTCAGCTTTGAGAAGAAGAGGGAGGAAAAAAAAAACAATGCAAAATTTTATCAGTATTTACAATGGGTGATCAGTTTTAGATTGACAACAACCAAGATGCCTTCTCAAAGTGTGTGTGTGTGGGGGGGGTCACATTATTTTATTATTCTATATGATTAGACAAAGATTGGTCACATTGTTGAGAGAGGGAAAAAGAAATAGGTATCATTGAAAGGGATCACAATCAAAGTTGCAATCAAGAAAAAAAAAAAAAAACTTAAAAATGCATTGACAAAAGGTGACAAAATGAGGAAAAGAAATTCCAAAAGGGTTGAACTAAAGTAAATGCATTTTAAATGATTTTTCTTCTTTTTCTCATGTAAACTCAATTCACACATGAAACAGATTGCAATCCACTGCTTGATAAATAATAACATGTTATAAATTGATTTTACTTTGAATTGCAAATCTCAAAGATATAAACTAAATTTGTGTCAAATTAAACAGAGAAACTATTGGCAATGCTTAAGGTTTTAGATATTCCATTCATTAAGTCAATATTACGTCCACTTTGTGCTTTTGTTTTACTATTTTTAGGTATTAAATTAGAAAATTTGCAAAGACCTGTATTGACAGCAATAGTATTTTCACAATTTCGGCTTCCTTATTTCATCAAAAATACACCAATGATTGATCTGAAATATGATTTGGGATATGAGAAGTTTAACCATATACGTATAAATTCATTGAAACTTACCTTTCCTGTTGAAAAAATCTCTTGAATATTTTCCCGATAATGCAATGTGTTTAGGAATGGAACCGAGCAGTTCTATGATGTGTGCCAGATGGTCTTCGTCCCGAGTGTAGTCTTCGCCTGAGTGTGGTTCAAAAAGGTAATCTCCTGTGGCCATTTCAAATGCCTGAAATTAGCACACAATCATCTTCACAGAAAGAAGCCATAATCAAGTCAGTATGCATGCAGCATTTTTTAGAGTTCTGCTTCATATGTAAACAATTGTCATTTTTGACAGATACTATGCTACTGTAATAATAATAGTAGTAGTAGTAATGCTGGAAAGCTTGCTTACCATACATGCTGTGCTCCAAATATCAGCAGGTGGACCATAACCAGCTCCAATAAGGACTTCCAAGCAGCGATATTGCCGAGTTTGGATGTCTTCTGTGAAGTGATGGTACTGAAAATAAATATCATAATTGACATTTGCAAAACTCATAAGAGAATTAACCAGGCTTATTAGTAAGAATCAGTTTACTGCAGTTAATGGTTTTCTCTTTTTTCACACATCTAATGTTCTTTATTTTTTGGAGGACTTAACTAAACTGCAGTTGGTTGTCTAATTTATTGCCAATCTCTAAATTTCTCTTCAATATATCAATCGCCACTTACACTAAAGAAATGACTACCATTTTAAAATTTGATCACCTGTGAAGATCTGAGGGACAAATAAGGTTTAATACATCAAAATGAGCATAGGAATATGATTTGCTAATGGCTGCAGTCTGCAAAAATCATTATCAATAAACAGAATGGGTCTTTTACTTTCGCTCAAATTTGGCCAATTTTTTCAAATGGGAACATGAGACAAATATCCATTTGCCTTCTACTAGGATGATGATGAAGCATAGAATCAAAATGTCTGACATCCAAACTGGTTTTGTTTGGTTTATTTTGTTTTACAGCACATCAATCTCAATGGATTATTTAATGCTGACAAAATTTTTAGGATAGGTTCCTATGAATAGAATGTGTATTCTTTGTAAGAAGTCAGTTTGTAGAGAAGTTTCCTTGATAAATTTTTGTAAAGAGAATTTTTGTTGATAGTCAAATCTATTGATGGTTTATTTATTTATTTTTTCTTTTGCAAAGATGTATTGCTGATACTATTTTTTTTTTTTTTTTTGCCTCGACGATTCCACTGTATAATTTTTTTGTATCATATTTATGTATTAGGTTGTTATGAGTTTTTGCTTGTCCGGTTTATGTTTAGTGGGTGAAGTGTCCATGTTTCTTGTTATGTTTTGTTCTTTGCAGGCCTTTTTGTTTGATCTTGTTTCCGCTTGTTTTTCCATTAGATTCTTTTGATGATCTTTGGATGATGACTGTTTTCTTGTTTGAGACGGGATAGAGTTAAGTTCATCTATGTCCATTTCTCTTCGTTCTTCAATGATGTACTGGGTTGTCTTATTTCTTTTATGAACCTTTTATTTCTATTATGGATGTTTGAAGGGTTATATTTTTTGAAGGATTTTTCTACTTTGGATTGTGGTTTTCAGAGTTATTTGTTTTGTGCTTATAGATTCTTTTTTGTTTCAGGTTGACAGGATAGGATTTGTTTTGACTATGAGTGTTTGGTTTATGTGTGGTATACTAAATTTTAGTAATTTTATTATTTTTTTTAATCCATTTATTGGCCTTGATTTCTTATTGTGTTGTTCTCTTGTATGTTTTTTTTTTTGTGATTTGTTATTTAAGCAGTTATTTGCGTATGATCTTGGAAGGGAGTTAGTTTCAACCTGTTTCCTAGCTTCTAGGAACAAAATATTTTGTGTATATTTTATTCTTATTATTTGCTTTTCCTTTTTCCAGATGTTACACTCTTTAGAATCTATTGAGTGGTTTTGTTTGCAGCTTGGGTATAAAGGAGGGCCCTTTCACAGGGTGACTCTTCATGATCAGACTCAAATTCCCCACATATTTAACAGACTGGTACTTTCGTATGTTGATCTTGTAGATGGCCAAATTTCTGACATCTATGGGGATTAGGGATGTATGTCTACCTTGGATATTGTGCATCTTATTTTTATTTCTTTTGGTAAGGTAGGTTTGTTGAATGTCAATGTATATATTTGTTTTTATTGATGTGCCATTTCTTTTTATTGTATTTTTTCAACATCTGTTACGCCTTGTTTTTTTAGGGCGTCATCATTTTTTATTTCTTCCAGTGAGCAGAGTGACAGTTCTGAGCATCTTATCACACTTAGAAGAGTTAAGAAATTGGTGGGGATAAGCCTTTACTTTCATGTCATTTATTTGATTGATTTTTAGTATGTTTTGAGTCTTTTTTGATTTTTACTTGAATTAGGAGTGTGTTTTTTTCTTTTTCTTTTTTACTGATTTTGGTTCTATCATGGCTGATATAACTTTTTGTAACACAAAAAGGTGACACTTTTGTTATTTCACCCTCTAATGATTCTATGAAAATTGGAAATTGTTTCTTTCCTGATATTTCATTGTCACTTTTTTGTTTCAGAGTTTTTGTTTTGTCTCTTGGATCGTTTTCTTTTGTTTTTTTTGTATTTACCGCCCGCGCTCACCTGCTGCTGCTTCAGAGTTTCCTTCTTAAGGAATGTGTTATCATGAAGCATTAATGCCATTTGCCCTGATCCGCCAGGGCTACAGACAATATAGTTGTGCTGAAAGTGACTGTGAGCACCTGCATTTCCCCCCACCATATTTACCCCTAGCATAATATGGTGTAAGGATTCACAGCCATGTCATAGACATTCCCCCTTTCATCCCAAATAGCCCCTTTGCCAGTATGTGACTAGCTGATTGAATTGGATTGAGCTATTCTATCCACCTGCCTATCCCAACGTTGGAACCAAAGTCGTGTGTTGTGAAAACTCCTGGCAATTTCATAACAGGTCAGGAATCACTCAGTCACTAGGGACTCCTTCCCCGGGCATCACAGGTCACCACCCATAGCAAAGAGCTAACCCCACTGAGGCAGATTTGTAGTCTCAGGGAATCAGTTTTCGTAAATGTGTGCAGTTTTATTGGTATAGCATTTTGTGATTGCAGTTTGACGTCATGCCCAGAACAAGTAAACATTTTTTGAACTTTAGGGACAGAAAGTAGTTCTGGCTAAGTTTCATATATACAAATGCAGGGTGAACTTTAGAAAGCACAGCAGAGACTGGTAGAGAAGAGACATGCAAAACATAGGTGGAACATAAACACAACAAGAGCATATCATTGTAGAAGCCATGAATTCACATACCACCAGATTACTCTCCCCTCGCCAAAATTTGACGTGTGTGTGTGTGTGTTTGGGGACGGGGAACAAGCAGACAGACTCTTAAATAATTGCTGTTTTTTCATGATCAACATCATTGTAAATGAGCAATTCAGAGTACAGATTATTGCAGTGAAGCATTAAAATTGTAGAAAGAAAGTTGCTAATTTGAAACACATATGGAACCAACAGCTAAAATAAACTCAATTTTGTTAAAATTTTGTTTAGGTCTTCTGTGTTCTTATTCCAAGACTTCAATGAACCTTGGGAATCTGTCAGCTTTACTTTTGTGTAATTTGAAGCTGGCTTTGACCATTTCTTCAACCCAGAGCTTGATACGTCTTCAGATTTTATTTAAACACATTGTCTATTTGAAGGCGTTTCCTGCCCAGGATACCAGTAGACCAATGACTAGGACAACTGGCTAACACACTCCTGGCAAAAGATCAAGGAGTTTTGACACAGAGTTTACCACAAAAAGGCACACAGCATGTAGCACTACATTTAAGCAACTGGAATAGTAAAGTTGTTCCTAACTAAAGGTTTACAATCTTACCAATTAAAAATGTGTTTTCACTAAACTGACTACATTTACTGTTGACTAAAACCAACAAGTCATTTTGTAGGTTCATGAGCAATTTATCATAATTCATATTTACAAGACAGAATATTTGACTTTCCTCTTAGATTTTGTTAAGTTATTTCAGTTGATTATAAGTTACATGAACACTTTGGGGGAGGAGGGGGAGTTCCACTTTTTATTATAATTATTTTTTTCTTTATATTCCAAGCTTTAATTTCTCCAAAAGCTTGCAAAGCAATATTTCATGCTATGATATTTACACAATAAGTTTTCATGAATCTCATTTAGCAACATTCTGTTATCACTGAACAGATTCCAAATTCTCACCTATTGCAGTGTAGAGGCGTTCTTTCAAGGAGGCCCTGTGCCTTGAGTGTCTAGTAGGTCTTAAGCTCAAGCTAGACCTCAAATAGAACTCCTACATATGATCCGCTGGTAAAGATGCTGGAAAAATGGTTGGTTCTCTGTACCACACCAGTAAGTACCTGACTCCTGCTATTTTTTGCCTTTACAAGACTCAGGTCAGGCCAAAAATAGAGTACTGCTGCCACATATGGGCAGGAACTGCTCAGTCTTGATAAAGTTAAATCTCTCTGCATCCTTGTGGGTGATGAATTATTTTCCACCCTACATCTCCTTTCTCCACAGACGAAACATCACAAGCCTTTCGCTGTTCTATTGCTATTTCCACGGAAAATGTTCAGGTGAACTACATCCCTTAGTTTCACCAGTTCTAACCTTCATGCCTAAGACCCAACTTGCCACGCCCATTGTAATGAATCACCAGTATTCCATTGGTGAGATGTAAATTCCACTTGAGCAGCTTCTTCTCATGAACCACTGCTCTGTGAAGCTGACTCCCAAAAGGACAAATGCTTCCCTGATCATTACAATCGTAACCTGTTAAAGTTTAAGGTTAACCATTATCTTCCCACATATCTCTATAAAATGTGTGTCTTATTCTGTAACCTTCTATCTTGAGTGGCTCTGGGGCTGTGTACAGAGTAAACATCATTGAAAAGGGAAGAATGAAAAAAAAAAAAAAAAGTATGTGTTTATCTTAAATGTAGATTTACCATTAAGATCAGGAAGAATTATTTCTCACAATAAGCATATACGTCATCAATATCTAAGCTCTTATCAAGCACAAGGCAGTGTGAAGAGAGAGGTCCTGTTAATGCAGTCAATACTTACCACCCAACAAGCATTTCCTAGATCTGCTATTTTGACTTTGATATCTTCACATATTTCTTTCACTGGGTCTTTTCTTTTTGGCGGATCTTCCACTGAAAGCAGACAAAATGCAATGCATTATTCAGAACATATTACAATAAAGTGAGCAAAAAAAAAAAAAAAAAAAAAATAATAAAGAAAAACATAACCAGGCAGTCACTTCCCAACCCTCAACACAAGGTATTTTTACAAGGAGTGCCAAAGCGTTCTTGGTCTAACTCCCTCCCCTAAATCTGACCAGAATTTTTTTTTGATTCTCTTTGTGGTCAGGCAGAAAATTTTTCTGCCCCTGGCCCCGCCTTGTTATTTTGCGGTCAACCAAATCAACAATCAACTTTTCTCTCTTTTTCTTTTTGACTTGGTATAAAGCATTCATTATAAATCAAGTGCAATGGAACAAGACAAAATAGTCAAGTAGAAAATATGCAAAACCAAAAATGAGTGTCAGAATGAATAATGAGCTGTGCCACTAAGTCTGTTATGTACACAGACTTTGGAAGGGGATTATACAACACATGATAGCTAAACTAATAAAAAACAAAACAAGAATTGTAAATAATTGAAAAGGAAAAATTAAGTTGTACTCTGCACTTACCTTATGAAAGTGACATACTGATTACTACATTCTACAGTTTGCTTATCTTAAAATTCAAACTGGGTGACATTATTATTAAGAAAAAGTGAGATAAAATAAATAATATTAATAACCATTTTCTTTCTCAACTATTAAAATAAAAAATTTGAAGGTTGAAATACCAAACTATTGAAGTTTTTTAAAATTTTTTTATTGTTTGATAAATGAGTAGAATTTAACTTGGTTTGATATATATTCATTTTGGAACAGTAATTAAGCCAAAAATATCTAAAAAATTTAAAGGAAAATCATCTTTCCATGTTTGAAACTGATGTATTTGGCAACAAAATAAAAGGATTCATTTGCTGACAAGTAACAAAAAGAATAGGCATTATTTAAAAATTCTCTTTGTAAATCTATATTTTTAAATCACACAGAGAACTAATTAATTTTCAGAAATATTAAGTTATTAAGTTTGCTAATCTATAAAGATTAAAACAAATAAAAAATAAACTTTATGAAAAATGCAAAAAAGAAAAAAGATTTTTTTAAATAAAATAAAAAAAGTAAAAATAATTTCAAAATTGAAACCCAATGAAAACTGAGTGATATTTTAAGACGGAACATTTTGTTGAGAAATAGATGAGCCTTTTGAGGTAAAAATATTATGAAACAATAGACAGAACTTGCAGCCCTAATGCTAAAAAGCAGATAAACTCCTTTAAAGCCAGAAATATACCATTGCTAGGAAATGATTTATTACAGTAAAAAGCAGTTTTAGTAATGAATTTCACGAAATAAGCACATAAGAGCAAATTGCGTGTGTGCACTTGTGCTGGTGGGAGCAGAGGAATTAAAGCAGTAGATGACAAAACTAAAAGCATAAAGAAAAGAGTAGAAAAAATAAGAAAAAAACCCTTAAGAAAATGGAAGAAAAACAGGTAATAATTATTTGTAGATTTTCAAGGGAAAAATATTTCACCCCACAAACCATTTGTGTATAAAGAGCCAGTTAGAAAAGATGGACAAACATTCTCAGGAAAGGAGAATGAAGGCATAATTGACCATGCTTTTCCACTGGTCTTATAAGTTTTGCACAAGAAACAACACTATTAGGGAATAAATAAATGTTTAAAAAAAAGGAAAAAAAAGAGAAAGAAAAGAAATAAAGAGTGTGGGTGGAGAGGTGATAACAATGACAAAGGTGGTCAGAAGAAAACAACCACAAATTGCCATGCAGATTTGCAAAAATAGAAAAAGGTTTGAAAAGCTGAAAAGTGGATCCAACTCACCGGGTGTTTTGCTGACCAAGCTGGTTGGACTTGCCAGCTCTCTAATGTTCAAAGTTTGTTCACTGTTTCCTTCAGATGCATTCTGCTCCATTTTCTCATTAAGTGCTAAATTGAGATTTTCAGTGTCTGAAGAATTCTTATTACAATCCTTAGCCTTTTGAGATTCGTACTGTCCATTGCAGATTGGCTGCGACTGTAGAGAGAGTTCGTTGGTGATGTTCAGATTATCAAGCTTCGCTTTTGAGGGACTAAGTTTGGGAGACTTGTCAAGGTTATTGGTAGTGTCTGTTACCTTGGGCTCTTTATCACGATCATTCAGGTTTTTATCTGAAATGAGGCAAGAAGATGCAAATGAGGGGGACAGGCCATAATATGATATGCCTCATGTTGCACAAACACCAGCAAAGACGTGCTAGCCAAAAGGAACAGAGTTTGTAAAACCAAGCAAGAGGTCATGTCTGGTTTTAATTAGCTTTGACTTGGAGAGCACACTAAATGCTGGCAAAGAGACAAAGGATCAAGGGTAAAGCAAAGGTCACATATGGAGAGCATAGCATGCAGAACTCAAGAGGAAACGCTTCCACAAAGACGTTTCATTAGGAGAAGGTGGAGGAGGAGGCAAATGCATCCAAGTGAAAATCAATAAGAAAAGAAACCCTAATCACAAGATCTGCTTCCCCACTAACAACCCTTCCATAAACTCAACAGATTCTGTGTAGCTCAGAAGGCTCAACACAAAGGCAACATTATAGTTTAATAGTAACAAATAAGACTCAACACACAGTTGTCTACTGCAGGTTGCTTGAGCTGAAAGATTCTCTCCAAATGATCGGAAATTCATTTTCAATTTTGTAAATGGAACATAGACCAAAGGAATCAATGAGTCGAAGAAAAGAAAAACAATTAGGGCATTTATTCAAATGAGTAAGAGAGCCTGATATAGTTCTTTTTCTTGATGGAGCCCAAGGCAGAGACTTGATCTTTAAAATGAGAAAACAAAGTATCTTTAAAAAAAATAAAATAAATATGTAGTAAAGTTAGTAAGGTTATGGAATTGGAACCATTCAAAAATATAGAACAGAAGACAAAACCCTAAACCTTTTAAACATTCTTGTAGTCAATATCAGTCAGAAACTAAATTACACACAAAAAGTCAGCTGTGATGAAAATGAAAACTAGATTTAATGTTAGACTAAAGAGAATTATTTCATAGGCTCCAACACTGAATTTTTCAAAGCTATTATCTCCCTTGCTTGTGCTTGAAGAAGAGGCTATTAAATACCAAATACATCAATCGGGTGAAAGGCAATACAAATGAAATGAGTTACTGTCCATTCATTGGATTTTGACTTTTTACAGTAAAAATGGACACTTTAAAGCCAAAAAAATCTATAGAATTATTTTGACAAACATTTTAAGTTGCAGAATCAAGCTTTAATAGGAAAAAGAAGATATAAAAATCTGGAGAGTTGAAATGAATTTGCAATTTTCCTCAAGTTCTCATTGATAAAGTCAAAAAGAGCATACACATTTATGGCAGAATAAAATTAGAGAAAAGTATGACATATCAAAGTTAAAGCAGTGCATTAGCAGTGTACATCAGTGGCATTTGGCTACAAGGAATAAACAAGAGTGAGGAATATTAGGTGATTGACTTGGCAAATGGTGCACAGGGCAGTGAGTGAAGAATTGAGGTTTGAAATCAGCATGCAGACTTTGATAAAGAGAAAATGGAGGGAGAGAGAGAGAACAAAAACCCAAAGAAAAAGAGGATATCTGCAATTAGAAAAAGAGAGAGAAGCAAACAGGAGAGAAAGAGCATACGCTAAATGGGTAATAAGTTATAAGCAACATTGTAATCATAGATTAAGAACATTGAAGTAAAAGTGACAAAGCAGAAAGACTAGCATCATCTTATTACTTCTTCAGGGGAAAGCAAAACAACAACAAAAAGGTTTGGATTGATTAAAATAGAATATAATTGAAAAAGATGAGCAAAGAGAGAAAGAGAAAAAGAAATGATTATTTTTCAAAGACCATCTCTCTTATTAGAAATAGCGGTTTGATGTCATCTATGAATTACTGATGAGTTACAGTTGTTGTTTTTCACTTATTATTGCTATCTGGTTTCATATTTTAACCTGTTAACTGCAAATGGCCAACATGTAACACAGTTCATGGGTTATTGAATATATTCACAGAAAATTAAAATTATCACAAGTGACAGATTTATAGGAAAAAATACTACTGTACCAACCATGAAATGTTGTTCTAATGACATTGTCCTAAGCTATTGTCAAAACTACAAATTCAATTACACACCAACTTTGCTAAGTAATCTATTGTATTTTTAATTAATTTACTTTACAGCATAATGACCAATTAAAAGAAAGTATATAATTTAGAAAAATATATTTACCCTAAAACTTAATATTGTTTTAAATGATGTTGCAAGTGTTGTTTTTTTGTTAATCAGACATTTTTAATTCAGCTTATAACAGTAACCAGTTTTTCTACTAAAGAATATCAGATTAGGATAATCCAACTATATCAAAGCAATAAGATAAAAAAGAAGCAGATTGACCAATGTGAAGTTCCAAATTAAGGATTTAAAAAAAAAAAAAAAAAAAAATGAAGCCTAGTCATGTAGTTAAAGCAAGAATAACAGATTGTTAATTAGATTACTGACTGGCAACATTTAATAAATAATAATGAAAGTAAACTTGGGTTGTTCATAATGCTAGTGTCATTTTTTGAAATATTCATTTTACAGGCCATCAAACACTTAATACTAAATGTTACTTTCTGTGTTTGAACTCACCTTATAGAATTTGGCTATAGTTGAATAACAAAACCCTATTTTGGTAGAAGAGAAAAAAAAAGACTTAGTTTCATAGGTCAAAATTAGCCTTTGAGTAAGGTTTGATACCATTTTAATTTGTTTCACATATTAAAGTTATAGGTCACATGGCTATATTTCTTTTACTCAAAGAAATACATCATTAGACTGACAATAATTAAATCTATGTTGGTTATAAGCTTGTTTTTAGCTGAAAAAAAAAAAAAAAAATATATGAAAGCAAACAAAAAACAATCCATTTACTTTCTTGACTGGAGGTGTGTGAACTAGTTGGTGATGTTGGTGACTTCACAGATGTTTGTGATGTGGGTGAGTTGATGCCTTTCTTATACAGATTCTCCTGGTGTGATGGCAGAGACTCTTGGGGTTCTTCAGGAGAAGTGACTGTAGGAGATGAGGTTTCTTCTTCTTCATAATCCTCTCCACAATCGAGACTATTCTGTGGTGATTTCAGAGCATTTGGTGGGATCCGCAGCTCATCTGGCTGGAAAACAAAGACAACAAACTATTAATCCCCGCTACTTCAATTTGAAAATTATCAAGTTTCTAAATGAATAATAACCCCTACTCTCTCTCTATATATATATATCTCTCTCTCTCTATATATATATATATATTTATTACACACACAAGTTCAAAAACACTATTCTTAAAAGAATGCTTAGTCCTACTTCCTACCAGACCATAAGTCTGGAGAATTAGCAAAACCATCTTGGAAAATATTAACCAGTCTATTAAATGTACCCTTGGATTCTTGCAGTGGATTAATACTGTGGACATTATTAACTGCTTCAAAGGTATTGAAAGTTTGATGTTGTTGATTATTATCCATCTATCTCCAAAGATCTTTTCACTTCAGTTTGCCCAGGAATATTCCAACATTTCCAATAAGGAATGGGACATTATTTTAAAATGCAGAAGTTCTCTTCTGATCTACAAGGAACAATGGACAAAAAAGACTTCCAATGATTACTTTAATATTTCAATGGGTTCGTTAGACTCCGCTGAAGCATCTGACCTGGTGGGATTTATTTATTTTATATAGTTTAAGTACCTATGATTGCGTAGATACTAACAATATTGGATTATATAGAGATGACTGCTTGTTAATAGTTAAGGATTCTATTAAAATTAAAGTAGAGTGTATTAGGAAAATGATCCATAGGAAATTAAAAGGTTCAGGTCTTAAAGTTAAAATGACTACCAATATTAAAGAGGTAGACTTTCTAGATGTTACACTAGACCTTAACAATAGTTTGTTTCAACCTTTTATAAAGGTTAATTCGAACCCAGTATATATACAGCCTAATTCTAATTATCCTACATAAGTTATTAAACATATACCCTCTTCCATAGAATTTAGAATCAGTGCTAACTCTTCTAGCAAAGAGGTTTTTTAATAAGTATAGTGAATTTTACAACTCTGCCCTTAGAAATAGCAGTTATAAAGGTACTACTATTAAGTACAGAAATTCCATTATTATGACCAGATAAAGTCTAGGAAGATCATTTGGTTTACTCCCACTTTCAACCTAATGGTTAAAACTAAATTAAAACAAAAATTCCTAAACTTTATTAATAAGCATTTTCTCAAAACTAATCTGCTTAGTAAAATATTTAACAATAATATACTTAAAGTAAGCTATTGTTGTGTGGACAACCTTGAGAAAATAATTACAAAACACAATAATAGTCTTTAACAAGAATAAAAATCCAAAAAGAATGATGTATTACAATGGCGCAGTAAATGATAAGTATAACAATAATAATACTAATATCAGCGGATGTAATTGTAGGAATTCCAATGATTGGCCACTACAAAATAATTAGTTAGCTAGTTCCCTGGTTTATCTTAGTACTATTTCTACACTTGACAACCAAATTATTAAAAATTTTTACATTGGAAGTACTAAAAATTCATTTAAAACCCATTGGTACCAACATGTACTATACTTCAACAATAATACTTATAAAATAGTACTTTGTTGTCAAAGTACTTTTGGAGTTTAAAAAGAGAAAAAAAAAAAACCCAAAAAACTCCTAGAGTTAAAATGAAATTTGTTAGGAGGGCTCAGACCTGTAATTCCGTATACACACCATAATGTCTCAATGAAAAATTGGAAATTATTAGATTTAAAGATGGGATTAATCTCTTAAATCAAAGGAATGAACTGTTAGCTGTAGACATAGTTCACCCTTTACCTTGCAATATTAGTAATAATATTATGAATGATAATAGAATATGGTATTGTAAGTTTGTATTATTATTATTATTATTATTTATTGGTTCTTTACTTTATGCATATATCTTTTTTTTATTGTAACCAGATCATCAACCTTATCTTTATTTGCTAGCAATTTAATCCAACATAGATTGTTGATATTGAATAGTTGTGATAGTTTATGCATAATTTTTCATGGACTCTGAATTCGTTATGGTTATCTAGGTAAGCATGTATGTATGTACCTGGGTATATATATTTGTGCATGTGTGGATACATGAATGTGGTTTATATCTGTATAGATTCTGGTTTTTGTATGTTCACGTGCATATTTTGTTTGGGAATGTGAGTTTGTTCATTTTTTTGTATATGTATGCGTATGTTATATATATATATATATATATATATATATATATATATATATATATATATATCGCTTTTCTTTGCTCTATAGCCCGATATACCTATTTCAACATACATATGCACGTATTTGCATCTCTTATCTTCAATTCCACTTTTTTATCTATATATTTGTTTGTGTATGTAAAATATCGATAGCTAGTTTGTGTTGTTTTATTAGTATATTTATGCTTGAATTTGGTGAGTTTGATTATTTGTATATAGGTACACGTGTGTGATTGCTTGTATATGCTTTTACCTATATATACCTGTGTGTGACAATTTTCTTTTGCGTGTTTTTTTTTATGTTTTGTTTTTATTCTTTTTATTATTTTCCTTTTTTGAATTCTTCCTCCTATTTCCTGTGTGAATATCTGTCCTTATATTTGCGTGCTCATATATTTGATTATATATACATATTTGTGTATTAGGATGTGAATGTCCTGTCATTTGAAAATTCCCTTCCCCATCTAACTTCTTATTTGAATTCAGACTTCCATCTATCAAATATGTGTAGTGATAGTGGATACTTCTTACATCAGCAAACTTAAATGATAAATTGGCACTTCGCTAAGAACAATAAAATTTATTTTTTCTCCTAATTTCATTTCTGAATAATTTTGTAATAATATTAAACTTGATGCTTGGTTACATTTGGAATTTGACATGTGTAATTTTTAATTTAGCTGTGAAGTTAAAACTATTTGTTATATTGATTTCCAATTTAATCTAATCTTAACTTTAATACACTAATTATACTTAGGGCATATTGTGATGTTAATTTGAATTAATTACTGAGTGAGGTTTGGTTGGTTTTGAACTCTTAAAACACTTTATTTTGCAATCAGCACCATCACTTGATAAGACACCAGTAGTGTTGAAACAAAATTGCAATTATTGTAGTGATGTTATAACATGCATATGTTATAATTTTGAATATATATATATATATATATATATATATATATATATATATATATTAAGCAACATGACCATTCCAATGAAAATAATAAATACAGCTCTGTACTCAAGGCACATCAGATTTTTCTTACATGTTTTTACCTGTGACTGTCCCCCACTCAATCCCTAAAAGTAAGCCTAATATGCATATTGCTTTTGTAATTGGGTACAAAATTTCATATGTAGAAATGTAAAAATGGTGTTTGAGGGTTAAAATTTAAATAAACAGAAAATTAAAACATGATTTGGCAAATTCAACTCTGCCTTCAAGAGGGTACAAACCAAAAATTGGAATAAAGAATGAGATGTTGATAGCTAATAAAGTAAAATCAATGTATTTTAAATAAAACATCAGTGTGAAGTGCCTTTTCATCCAGAATGGGAATGGTGTCCTGATAGGTGGCAGTGGGATATGTCTATTTATGAACTTGGATGTTCAGTATTTCTTTGAAAAGGGTTAGTACATGGTTTGATAACCAGTAAGCAAAAAAATTTATCTGAAGCTGCAGACTAGAAAGAAATCAGATGTCCCTTTTCTGTGACAATCATCTGCAATTTTTATAATTATTATTATTTTGGATTTATGGGTGGGGGAATCCTTCACTCGTGGGAGAGACATCTGGTTAATTTATGGGAATATGGAGATAATGAAATGTGTGCTATGAGCATTGTAAATTGTCATTTTCTGAGATTTGGCTAGGTAAAGTGAAGTCATTAATCATTGTTATTGGAGTGGGGAGTTTTCCTATATAAACCAGTGTGCAGTCATTTTCTGTGTGGGGAGCAAATGAATCAGATCCGATGACACATCCATATTTCCTTAAACATACAGACACAGTGAATACAGAGAAAACCATTAAGCATCAGTTCATAGAATTTAAATTCTGTAGACATTTTTTTTCATCTTCACATTAAATTCTGTTAAGCTTACAGAACATGTCAGGTTCGTTTATCAAAGAACTTTTTCCTCTGCTTGAGTTAACCACCAGCATTCGACCATGCTCTGCAGGAGATCAATTTTCTACAGGAATGTGACAATTTGGGTCTAAATACTAACAATTGCCATCAAACAGACAAGTGGAACAAGGAAAGACAAACTCTGTTCAAGTGAAGCAGAACAGAGAAATCTACCTGCCTTGTTGGCACTTGTCCCTGGGCAGTTGATACTGGAAAAAAACCACATCCACCCAGTTATATAGGGTACAGTTGTGATTAAGTGCCATGACAAGGAGGTAAATGCCCCTTCCTCCGGCCACCCTGTTATATATTAGTTTACTTAATTACAAAAATAATTTCATGCAAAAACCAAATTAAAAGGTTAACATTCTGTAATTTAGCTATGTATTAAACAGAAGCCTCAAGGTTTACTATAAGAAAAAAAATTAAAAACTTAATTCATGCAATTGTTTTCACAACTACACAATAGATGGCATTATTATGAAACAAATTTAACTGCCTTTCAATAATGTCTGATGACTCGTCATGAAATCTGTTCATAGTTCAATGACAGTTTTGCTGCTGTGCTGCATCCCTTAAGGACTTAGATGATCATGGCTCTCCACAAATTTCTATCCTGTGTGGCTCTTAGCAGTTCTTTTTTCCCTTTGCTAAAGTCTCCTCCACTTCCCTTTCACCATGCATTCACATAAGCTTATCAAGTATGTGACACATTGACTTCCCCTATCAATATGCCCTGTGAGGATTAAGTTTTCCAAGCCCTCCCCCTTCATTATGTATCCAAAGAATTTCTGCTGTCTTTTCCTGATTTAAAATAGAAGTATTCTTTCTGTTCCCATTTTCTTTGAAACTTCTTTGTTGCTTACTCACTACTGTTACAGACAATTAATGCAGCATAAAATTTAAAGAGAAAAGATACCAACAGTAACAAACGCCAATATACAAATGTAATTTAATTATAACTATAGACAATACTTGATAACACTTATGCAAGAGAAGGCATGGAAAGAGGCATGCATTATATTTCTGAGATTGAAAGTCAAAACGAATGTAGCTTCAGTCTTTCACCTGAAATAAAATAGGGTTTTCTCTTTTATAATTTCTCTCTATCTCTTGTTTTATATTTATCTTTAATCTTTTTTACTTTTGGTTCTCAGTTTGTTTCACTGAGCAGTGGGGTATCTTTGATCTATTCTTTCTTCACTGTTATGAGTTCTGACCCCAAAAGTTGGTCATTTACTCGCTTCTTCACATATTCAGCAATGTAGAATAAAATTCTTTATTTGGATAGGAAGATTCAGCACTGCATATGTTGTATTCTTCACATATTCAGCAATGGAGAGTTTATTATTCGGATCCTGCGTCCAATTGAGTGGGTCACACATGCCTGTCCTAGGTATCATCTATGCATTTGATGTAAGCAGCATAGTGTATGGAGTTGAATTGGAATTTGTCTTCATTGTGAAATTTCCTTTGCTTGACAGTAACAAGTAAAAAGAGATGTTATTCACACAAGATTTGGTTTACAACTATTTTGTACTGAAAGTTTGTGAGAGTTGGGGATAGCATTCCTTCTCTTCAGTTTGGTGAATACATTCGCATGGCAGTTTCATGGCTGGCTTGACTCCCTCGAGTTTCATTGCCCCAACTCTTTTTCTTCTAATATTTCCTGTTCAATGTTCATACTTTATCATGTGATTCTTCTGGAGCTGTTGTATCCATCTTCTTATAGATAAAAAAATTAGAGACAACAGAAATGTGGTTCTACAGATGGATACTGAAAATTCCATGATTGGAGTATTACATCCTTACGCAACCAAAACCCCTAAACCACATTTCTGTTGTCTCTAGTTTTTTTTTTTTTATATAAGAAGATGGATACCACATAGCAATCCAGAACCTTTTTGCTTTTATAAAATTTTTTCCATTTCTCAGCACCTTACTCAGCTTTTGGATGTGCATTTGAATCTCAGTGGTACATTTTCCATCTTCTGTTGTAATGTTTCCCAGATATCTGAACTTCTGCACCTGCTTGATGTTTATATCTCCAATTGTAACTCACATCTCTGGCTTTTTCTCTTGTTGATGACCATACTTTCTGTCTTCTTGAAGTTGATGGTGAGTCCTTTTTAAATGCTTTCCTCTACTACTCTGCCTGGGAGGCCCTGTAGTTGCCATTCAGAGTTATCAGTCAACACACTGTCATCTGCACATCTTATATTAAGATTACACCCACTGATAATAAATCCCTGTAGAGCCTCCAGTTCCCTCAGGATAGTGTCACTGTAAAGACTGAATAAATCTGGTGAGAAGATGCATCCTTGTCACATGCCCATTTTATATTTTTGTATAGCTACTATATTTTCTATCTATATGCAAGTAGTTTCCTCCAAGTATAAGTTCTGAATTATTCTAACATCTTTTCCAAATAGACTGAGTTTCCCTAGCAGTTCAAATAGACCCTTGTGCTACTTAATTTTATTTTACTTTACTATTTACCATGATAACAGGAATATTATCTTTGTTTGGACAACTGATCTCCTTTGTGCTGCTGCTACCATAATTTTACAGCCAATACATTCTACAACATTCTTAAAATGTAGAATTCAGAGAGAGTATAGGGGAGAAGTGCATCTTTTTATAAACTTGAAGGCAGCTATAGAATTGATTGTGTTTATTCGACCAAGTTTGGAATGTCAAGAGATCATTAATATTATTTATCTTCATACTGAATTTTTGAGAGTGCATTATCAAAATATACAAGATTCTTTGCAAATATTGAAGAAAACAATTTTCTAATAAAAAGAAAAATCACTGACACTAAATGAATTACATTATTAGTTAGGAAACAAAATTTTCTTTAGTGAGAAACACTAAACAAAAAGATATTTAGTCGAAGAGGTAGTTATACTGACATTTTATTTAAGAATAAATGTTCCAGTTGTTTTTTGCTTTCACTTAGAGGATAACATCAATGGAACCTCCTCTAATCAATATTTCTGCCCATGTTCTCATTTGTTGAGTGATTCAAAAATACTGATTATTATTATTGATAATCTTGCATTTAAATACAACCTCATTAATTTCCACACCCGACACTACAGAAATCAAGCAAGAAAAGAATTTATAGAGAATTTTATTATTATTCTTCCATCAACTGAAAGTGAGGTATTTTGCAATCTTTTGTTATCTCCCCTTGCAAATAACTGCTCACCTACTTCCTCCACTCCCATACAGTTTTAGCATTGTTGCTGGATATAAAAATTTGTATAATACATTAGTAACCCAGTGGGCACAAGTCAGCCAGCCTCCTGAGATGCTGTGAATACAAAGACAGGTTATAAATCTTATGACCTTTGTTGGATTATATGAACAATTCAATGAAAGAAAGGTCAATAGATTTGGCTAAAAAGGAAGAAAATTTGATTTAAGAATGAAGAAAGAAAAAAAAAACCCTGTATTTTTGATCAATAAGAAATTAAAATCATTACAAAAGTGGGTCATATTGGCAAGAAGGATGTAAGCTTCACATTTCAGAATGTGCATGTAGTATGGTTGAGGGGAGGTTGAGAGGGAGTTATTAGCATTGACAATTTCAAATATTCCAGCAGAGGCAGTTGTATTTACTTTTGCACACCCACCCTTGGAAAGGTGTGAATCCAACTCTCCCACCAGCAAGGCAGAGTGGGCTCTCTCTCTCTCTCACTATTGGGTGACAAACAGTCTAGGAGAAGGAAAACTGAATTCAAAACCAACCTGAAAGTGAGACACCCACTGATATTATGGCTGCATGTGCGTAGTACCTAAACAGCCCTAATGTGTTATAGGACGTTCAAGTTTCAGCAATATCAGCCTCTGTACAAGTCACTTGATACAAGTTATATATAATAATAATAACTGTATAAACCTCATCTGAAGATAATCAACGTTTAAAATTCAAGTTTTTAAAACTCCAATCATCGTTCTAAAGACTCAGTAGTTAATATAACTTAGATTTCACAAACACACAGCATCAAAATGACTCTTGGCAAAAATCACATTAAAAACATTTCATGTAACAAATATGATTTGGTAGTCATTTCTTTTTGTACTTTTTTTTTTTTTAACAACTAATTTTGATTGTCTTCAATTTTTGTCCCTCAGAAACTTCCTTTTTGATCCAATGACAACACCAACAAAAGTTTTCTTTGATGCATTAAAAACAACATCTGTGCGATGTTAACATTGATTCATTAAGAAAAAGTGCTTGGCTGTAAGGAGAAAGAAATCTTTTTGTAGCTATCTCAAGTTTAGTGGCAATTTAATTAATTGAACCCACTGATGAGCAGTAATAAAGGAGCACTGACCGAAGAAAAACAAGCAAATAGATTAACTCATCCATAATATTGTAATCAGAAAAAAAAAATCAATTAATAATAATTTATGCCAGATTATCCACAAGAGATTTTGTGGAATAGGAAGAAATTTAATTTCTTCAAGGAAATGATTTCATTCACAAAAGTGTGATGGCAATCTGGCACGGAAAGCAGACCTAGTAATTTTTAAATAAAATTTCTAAAATGAAATAATAATCAAAACGTTACCTCCTTAGCACCAGTTGAATCTTCTTTTTCTCCTGTTACTTCTTCAATCTGCTGCAACTGAAGGTTCATTAGCTCTTGTTGACGTTTCATTTTCTTTTTTAATTTTTTCTTCTTATTTTTGGTCATTTTGGAAGGATCAGGTCTTTCCTTTGGAGCAGTACTCACTAGCAGAAAAGAAAAGTACAGAATCAGTATGTTTGAAGGAAGATTTCAAAATCATAAAAAATGGTGGAAAAGAGATTGTTGCAACTTAAAACATTTCTGTTAGATTTGACAGCAGAATAAACAAAATGTAAATACTATTAGTAGTAGTGTCCAGAGTGTCAGTTGTAATATCAACCTTGACAGCAGTACAACAAACTAACACCAGCATACATTTCAACACGGTGTCATCTTATATATGATAGAGGGTAGCATCTTATACTTTGAATAAGTAATTACATGTGCTGATGGAAAGGTAGCATTGTATATGATCACATTTATATTTTCTCCCTCCACTTAGACTTAGTGAACATTTTTTCAGTATGATCAATTTAAATCTAAGACAATTTGTTTGGAGTTAGATTCCCTATATATAGTCACTGATAAATGTCTTCAGGTTAAATCTACTTTCAGGTTTAGTGAATATATCTGCTACATTTTATTCGAATGGAATATATACAAATTGCATAAAATCCTTTTTACACTTAAAGTAGTTATTTTATGCAGATTTTTTTTTCTTTGACAGTTGAACAAATCGGAAATTGTCAACCCTTTCAGTAAATGAATTAAGTTTGTCCATCTGTGCACCACCCTCAGCTGTTGTTCTACATTCTGGTAAGGAAACTCAATGCCTTAAGAGTATTCATTTCATCATGCATGGCTTCTTGCCAATTGCTTGAATTAACAGAAGTGATAACTTCTTGAGGTGTCTTGGGTACATTAAAGTGTAACCAACTGGAAACATTTGTAGCAATAAGAGCAATTGAATCAGTTGAATTGCAATATACTAGTTTCAATATTGAATTCACAAGTTTATTTGGCGTTCTATTCTTACAATCAATCATCTTTTTTTTCTTTCAGTACAAATTTCTTGTTCTCAAATTTTATTCTATCATTGATTTTTTTTTTTTTTTTTAAAAAGACACCATATCCTTTCAGGACAGAGACAATCACAGTTCTCCACAGATTACTTTTCTTTATCTATGAATTGCCATGACTTCTTGAGGAAGAAAAAATAGTTGAGTGCTTTCCCATTGCCTTACTATGATTATGAGTTTTCCTTTTCCTGGACTGGATGCTATCCAAGACTAGAGAGCGCTCAGTTTATGCAGCTATTTAACCTTTAGTGGTGGGGAGAGAGAGGAGATGGAGTCATATTTTTCACAACAAAGTTTGTGTGAAGTGAACACAACAGACAGTTCAAACTTGACTCCCCAACTCTATGAATAGATAACTTTTATTCTCCCCATACATCATCTTTCATGTTACAACAGCCTAAAAATGCCATGTCATGCTTTTAACTTGCATGATACAGATTTCATTGAAATTGTATTGCTGATTAAGTAAAGACATCCTTTCTTTTAATATTAGATATTGTATCATCTAGATACATCAAATTTCTAAATTTCTGTTCAAACTTTGCACCTTGGCTGATAGAAAGTGGACAACTCTGTATATTCCTATTAAACACCATCAAATATTTCAAAGTAACATTATTTGTTCTTCAGCAGTCTGCCAATGCAACAAAGCAATTGTCAACCATGGGATCTATTCCAACAGAAAATGGATCCCATTTGTAACATTTTTATTTTAACCTTTTTGCTTGAAAATTCCTGTCATGTTCTTGTTTGTTACACATATCACAGACTCTTTCTTTAGTTATGGTTTTTGCTACACTGTTTTCTCCAGTGCTAGTGTTAAAGAATTCCTTCCAGCTTTTCAAAGTTTTTTTTTTTTTGTGTTACTTCAAATTTACTAAATACCATATTTTTTTTTTCTTTTGAAAGGCTTCAATTCCAACATGTCTCTTTAATAGGTCAATAGGCTGTCACTGAAAAAGTTCTTGCAATGTCCTCCTTCTCTTATGCTTTAGGTTTACAGATTTCCTCAATGAAGTTTGTTTCTATTCAGAGAGAAATAATTTTGGGTTTTCCCATCTGATACATAGTGCTCCTTGAAGATTTCCAATGCCTTTCTACCACTGTCCTTAATGTTGCAAATAAATAAACAAAGATTCCAATTATACAGACACTAAACAAGCTTTGCAAAGGCTTTGACATCCCCTTTCACTGAAAATTTCAACTTTTGGATTTCCTTGCATCAATAATGTTATACAGGGTACAACAGAAATACCTCACACATAACGGTAAGACATTAGTGCCAATGGTGTCTTACCATTATGTGGAAACTATTTCTGACACACACTGCACAACCTCACATATAGCCCAAAAATATAACTTTCCATAACTTATATTTGCTTGCATCATCATTAAACCAGATAAGATCTGTTGGAAACTGAAACATTTTGTTTGAGTTTAAAGTAGATTAAATAATTATCATCAATAATAATAGTATTGACAAAGTTCTTAGTTGTAAGATGCACTAATAGCAATACAGCAAATTAATGTTAGCATATATTTCTATATGGCTTTGTCACACACATTATATATACTGTCTCTCTCTCTGGGCTAACTGGCATTAACTTGGTGTAGAGAATAACATCCCATATAACTGTATAGCAAGGACAGTGTTTTTTTAATATATTTTTATTTTTATAAATTCTTTTTCTTAGTAAAATGTATTAGAAGAGTTTTGTCCTGTTGGTAAATGAGAAGTTTGTTTTTGTTGGTTTTTTATTTTCATTTCTTTTTCTTATTGTAGTTATAACCAAAACTACTGTTTGAGAAATGAATAGAAATCTTTGAATAAATAGATTCAAATTTAACATTTTTTTTTTAAATTTTAAAATGAAATAAAACTGTCAAATTATTCGTAAAATTAGACTGTTTCAATTCAATGTAAACTGTATCACAAAAAATGTAAACAGTGTCAAAAACTTTTCAGACAATATTGCATGTGTATTACAGAAAAATAAGATATGAAATATAAAATTTAGGATAAATAGATAAAAGTACACTTTAGACTGCTACTGCAACTCATTAATTTGTTGCTATGGCTGGTTCCATGTAGCACCTGCAGAAAGTACCTGATTCTTACTACCATGCTCTATCTTTACAAGGGTTTAGATCAAACCAAAAATAGAGTATTGTTGCTAGGTCTAGGCTGAAACTGCTTAGCCTTCACAAGAGTTCAAAAGCACTTATGTGGCCTTAAATTATTCTCCAACCACTTTGCTAGTCTATCATTATTTTCATGGTAAATGTCCAGACATACATTTCTTAGTTCCACCAGTTCAGACAGTCACAACTAGGACCCACCATGAGCATACAGAGTTGACTCATCTTCATTCTCTACATATTCCATCGATAAGGAGAAAGTTCCACTCAGATTCTTCTCCAGAACTGTTACATTGTGAAAGTCTCCTGAAAGGATGCTTCCCTGATCACAACAATTTTAACCACTTCATGTTTAGAGCCAATTGCTATTCTATATCATAATAATGTACAATTCTTACTAAAACCTTTCACACTCTCTACACTTAGAGAATATTTTTTTTTTTTTAATATATTTAATTCAATTTTTTGTAAGTTCCATAACTAAATTTGAAATTCTGTAGTGGATCACTAGTTTTAAAATTTAAAATAAAACAATGTTACTTATAATTTTCTGTACCCTCCCCCATTTTTTTCTTCTTTTTGAATGAGTAGCAAAACAGTTGTCTGGTGACTTACATTTTTTTTAAAATATTATCTTGTTGAAAAACTTCCATTTTATATTTGTTTAAAAAAAAAAAAAAAAAAAAAATTGGCTTCTAAAATTGTCTTTTTAAAAATCTTTTAAATATATATATGCTTCATTTCTTTCAAGCTCAGGTTCTCAGGGTATTTTAATCATTTACTTGTTTTCTTTGTTATTTCAGTAAACATATCCAATTAAATCTAATATTGTGCATCTGTAGAGAAAGATTATTATAAATAGCATCTCCACATAGATTCATTACAAAAAAGAAATATATATATATATATATATATATATATATATATATATATGTGTGTGTGTGTGTGTGTGTGTGTGTGCTTCCAGTAGACAAATCCAATTAACTTGAAACCTACTTCATCACAGAGTAAAATCTAGAGGTATGTTATCACAGGAAAGTTTATGCTCAAATGTCCCGTTTCCCCAACAATTAAGACTAAGATTTAATGTTATAGAGCATATCTAGACACACATTGTTATTATCTTATTATAATGTGCCTGTTAGTTACTTAGTAAGTCCATTACACACTTCAGTACTGATCTGTATTCTGTATCTCACTAGGAGTGATTTTCACCCACTCTATATCACTCTTGCCATCAACAAATGCTGGCGATTTCAAAGAAACATAACAGCCCATGAAATTTCAAAAAATTAAATTGGCCTCTAAATGACATTATCACTAAAAGGTCACGTGTTGTCCTCCCCTTAATAATTAGAACCTAATTCTAGAAAAAAAAACAAAACAATTTTTACTTTAACTTATGAGAGTTGTTTTGAAACCTTGAACTTCTTTACTGGGAAAACCCACTTGACTTTTTTGGGACTGGAATTCATTCATTCATTTCTGTGTTTTATCATTCTATTAACAGGCTTTGAAAATTGGCCCTTCAAAATTTTAAAGGGAGTTTTACTTATTCTTATTTTTTTAATTTGCATGTCATTTTGCAATTTCCTTTCAAATTAGTTTTATATTAATTTCTATTTCATAATTTTTTTTTTAGTTTTTAATTTACTTTTTCTTACTTTTTTTTTAATTTACTTATTAATTTTTTTTTGTTTGAGTTGTTTTGAAAGCTTGAATTTAATTTTAAATCTAAGATTGAATTTAATTATTTTTAGACTTTATTTAATTCACAGCTGAAATTAGTTTTCTCATTTTAGTTGTTGTCAATGGTTTTCAACATCGTGTATTTGCAATTTTAGTACTGTAATTTCTTGAAAATAATATGCACTCATAAATAATACACACCTCAACAAATGATCCAAAAATTAAGAAATCCTATCCATATATATATAATATGCATC